TTTTTTTAAAAAATGTATTTCGGGGTATTTTCTTACTCCTTAATTTTTTTTTTTAAAAACGTAATATATTTTGTATTTATTATTTTTTTTTTTTGTCATTAATTTTGTTTCACTCATTTTCAATTTTGTGTTCCTACTTTCCAATTTTTTGACTTAATAATCTTTACTTTTATTTCAATTTTTTTTTTACATTTGTATTCGAAAAGGTTTAAATTATTCTGTGTTCCCATATTTAACCCTCGAACTGTGGCATGCATTATTCTGTCGTGTGGAGCTTTTCAGAGCGTTTTGAGTGTCATTTGAAATCGCAGTAAATGACATAGAAATATTGATACAAGACCCTTAGAAGTATATATTTTTGGAAAGGTGAATGGATGGGGATAAAGTTGACCATATTGCCCACCCCGTACACAAATTTTGGTCAGTGTCCTTGACCTTGGAGTGCTCAAGGAAAAAAATCAAAACACAACTGTAAATGTTGTAGGCAATTCGTTGATCTTTCAGAAAATATATAGTTTACTCAGGTTCTGATTGCAATTAATCCTCTGAAAGCAATTTTAGTAATTTTTGGTCATTTATATAAGAAAATGGGACCACTGCTAAAACTAAGTACAAAATACAAAATCTCAGGCAAAATAGTTATTATTGACTAGTATTTAGTAGTATACATTTACAAAGGAACTGTGGAACTGATTTGGGTTGTTTAACTATAAAATTTATTAGTTCTGATCTATAATCTGTAGCTTCTGTGACTAAAATTCAGTCAGTCCTTGCCCAACCTCCAGGTCTGGCTCGAAGTCAAACAATAGCCTCAGTAGGCCTACTTCAGTATGACTAAGACTAGTATCAGATTCACTAGAAGAAGAATCTGAAGTGAGATGTCATGGGGAATGTTAAAATCATTATCAGTATCACTTAAATCCTCTCCTAAAAAGCTTTAAAAAATATTTCTATTAGTTATCGCACTGAAGGCCCGGCCACAGCTTCCGCCATTTTAGCTTAAAAAAAAAAAAAAACAGAGATATTAAACTACGATTAAAAAGTGTTTATTTTTAAGTTATCAAGAAAAAGCTTGAACCGGAAGAAGATTTAATTATTAATAAAAGGAAGGGGCTATAATTCTGATTAAATATTGGATTGGAAGTTGCTATCAGACTGTGTTTTTAATCGGCCGATTTTTTCGGCCGCCACAGCTCAGAACCAGAATATCTTCATCGGCCGACCACAGTTCGAGGGTTAAAAAAATATTTGTGTCACTTACTTTAACTGCGTGCCCTTGCTTTGACTGCACGCCCTTGCTTTGAGTGCATGCCCTTGCTTTGACAGCGTGCCCTTGCTTTGACTGCATGCCCTTGCTTTGACTGCATGCCCTTGCTTTGACTGTGTGCTATTAATGTGATTGCGTGTCCTTGCTTTGACTGCGTGCCCTGAGTGTGTGCCCTTGCTTTGACTGCGGGCCCTTACTTTGACTGCGTGCGCTTGGTTCGATTCCATAACCTTACTTTGACTGCGTGCTCTTACTGTGACTACTTGCCCTTACTCTGACTGTCTGCCCTTGCTTTGACTGCGTGCCCGTGGTTCGATTCCGTACCCTTACTTTGACTGCATCCCCTTACTTCGACTGCGTGCCCTTGTTTTGACTGCGTGCTCGTGGTTTGATTCCATGCCCTTACTTTTATGCCGTGCTCTTACTTTGACTGCGTGCTTTCATTTTTGCCCAAACGTTACGAAAAGTTCTTACATTCATTGCATTATTCCCCTTATCGTTTGTGGTGCAGTCTTAATAACAAGTTTTACCTGTTTCTGATAGGATATAACATAATTGTTATTTTTTGTTGATATGATAAAAAAATTGTATCATATGTTTGGTTGGTTTTTTGAACGAGGCTTTCACTGCACCGCAGCAGTCTAGCCGTTTTCCAGGAAATCCTTGACTCTCTATTCATAGTTGTTAGAGGCTTTTTTTGTGGATACATAAAGAATGATCATCCTCTTGAAAAATCTTTAAACCATTCATTTTAACGGAAAATCTCACCGTGGTTAACACGTACCCCGTGGAACCTCGTCTGGCCGGAATCCTTCATTTTGATACAAGTCCTAACATGAACATTTGTCACTTCACATTAAACCATGACACAAATAACAACATAATTCTAGCAAATGCGGTGGAATTGTTTTTTGTTTTTTTTAAGGCTGGCCTTTAATTACCTGAGAAATGTTGTATAAGAAAACAGCTTAATCTTAGTGAAAGTGACAGTGGGGGAGGTTGGAGACATTCAGGGACATTGTAGATAAATTGTAGTGGGACAGTGTAGGGTTGGCGTGTCTAGTTTGGCGTAATAAGAAAATAATTGAGTATTTTTTTTAAAAATTAATTATTATTTTTTTGAGTCCTTTGTTTTCACAATGATGAAGGTTCGGGTGTGCAGACAAGACGTTTTCAGTCATCAAGTGAGATAGTTTTTTTTTCAAAATAAGACTCTACAAGTCATCATCTAAGACAATCGTTTAAAAATTATCAAATCACAACCAAGACATTAAAATATTAGATATCGTCAAGACATTCTCAGACCCAAAACGTAGACATTATCAGAAACAATGAAGACATCATCAGAAACAGTGAAGGCATTATCAGAATTAATGAAGACATTATCAGAAAAAAATGAAGACATTATCAGAAACAATGAAGACATTCCTAGTAAATCCAAGACTACTGTCAGTCATGGGGGTGAAGGAAAACCTTGGGAAGACAGCTCACGCTCACAGTTGACGTTATTTTCCTTGAAGCCTTCGCCCGCCGACGGGGCGTTGGTCAGCGCCCTGTAGCAGGCCACCATGAGACCAGCGGTGCTGGCGCACAGTAGCGTCGAATAGCTGCTCGGCTGCACAGACGCACAGCTGTCCTTCAGCCGCTGTACCTTGTCCCACCAGATGGCTTTTTTGACGCCGTCGCCATTTTCCACGACCGCGTCGGTGGTTTGGAGAGCGACTTCCACGACCTCCGGCTTGAAGTTGATGTTGGTCTCGGCGTCTACACGTTGAATCTCGATGATTTTCCGTTCGACGACCTTGGGTGACGACTCGACCTCGTTGGAGAAATCGGCATCATTTGACAGATCGTTGCATTTTGAGGAGTCTGACACAGCAGCGAAGTCCACGTCACCGGGAGACGCCAAGTTCCTGCTGCTCTTTCTCTCAGAGTCGGTGTCTTGGCCACACGCTGACCAGCAGACCTGCTTGATCGCCTCCACCACGGCGTTGCATGGATCATCCGTGCCACATCGAGCCACAGCTCTGACAGATTGGCTCTCCTCTGACTCCGGCCACTCTGCTAAGTCCATGCTGTGAAAATTTAAGATCCCCATGTCTGGGTTGTCCGGAACGTGGTGCCTACTTGAAATGTCAGATTCTGGAAGACGTGAATCCGGATTGTCCGATTCCGGGAGATGCGACGTTATATTTTCCGAATCCGGGATGTGTGAAGTTAGATTTTCCGATTCCGGGATGTGTGAAGTCAGATTGTCGGACTCTGGCAAGATGTTGGATCCTAAAATGTCCGAATACGGAATGTGGGAACTTAAATTATCCGGTTCTGGAATGCTGGGTTTTAAACTGTCCACTTCTAGGATGGGGGAATTTAGCGCGTTCAGAGTCGGGCCGTCTTGGCTCAAAGAACTCAACAGGTCGAGACTGGCAGGACTAGTAGAACGAAATGTCTCTAAATCCGGATTTTGTGAGGTTCTATCCTCGCTGCTCTTCGACTGGGCGTTGGCGATGCACAGCTCCATGAAATGGTCGATGCGTTCAGAAGTGTTAATGACGTCCTCGTCATCTGGCACGTCTCGGTAGGTTTTGTAAGAGACGTCACTGAAAAAGTCCACCGCCACGTCTTCCGCCACATCGCCCCGGTCCAACAAACCTGCGGACGGGGCGCTTTTTCTTTCTGGGGCCCGGGGGCGTACACCGGTGGCGCTCTCGCTCTTTCTACTCGACGGAAACGGTTTGATGTGATCGTCAAAGTATCTGATGTCTTCCGGCTTCAGCATGACGACCTGATCCGCTGAATTTATGCTCAGACTGGCCAGGGTGTCGAGAAATCGTGCTTTAGCCAGGCTCATCATAGCATCGGATGCCACAAACTGACCAAAATCTGAGACTGCAAAATCCGGTTCGTAAGGCTTGTATCCTGGACATTCGTTCAGGAAAGGGTTGTGGAGGCTGGCGTGTCGGCACACTGTGTCGGCGATGGGTCGGTAAAAGAACTCTGCATTACCTGAACCGTAGACACAGTTTGGATATATTAACTCGGGGACGTAGATGCTGGCCTCTACGGGTGGCTGGGGACGCTGCCAGAAGCATCCGTTTCCATGGCTACAGACGCACGTTCGGCTGGGTTGAACGGCGCAGAGCGGAGAGCTCTCGCGGCACACCCTTTCCCCGGCGTAGCGCCGCCACTGTTCCGCTTTGATGCTCTCGAGGTTGAGACTTCTGACTCGGGCAAAGTCTCCGAGGTCCATCTCGCTCATGAAACAGCAGTCTGCGCCGGATGGGTCCTCCGGCACGGTCGCTTTCGAGGATGTATTATCAAAGAACAGCGAGTCTACCATTCTCTCCGTCTCGATCACCGTGAGGCTGGGCTGGTCCGTGTGGTCATCATCGTGATCGCGAATAATCTGCTCAACCCAAAGGTCGAAGTCTGGACTCAGCTCCGCTGTTTTAATCCACTCGTCTTGGTGGCACGGCTTTAAATGGATTTGTTCGCCGTAACAATACGCGTTGTTCAGCCCGTCCGGAACAAAGCAGTGCTCAAAATTGGCGTTGCCGCTGTCATTGCGCACGTCGAGTTCCGGGCTTTGTGTGGAGACTTTGAGATGTATTGATTCTGGCCGTGTTGCAGGAATGTTAGAAAGTTCTTTATCGGGTGAATTCTGCGCTTTGATTTCGGGTTTTATAATTGAGCATTCGCGTTTTCTCTTTACGTCTTCGGGAGATGAAGTTGAATTTCTTTTAATCGGCGGGCTACTCTTCGTTGAGAGGTGGTAACCAGTTGGAGGGCGAAGCTTTAACGGGGTCAAGTCAGGTTTTGATGGCGGGCAAAGGTTTTTTATTTTGGGCTCGGTACTGATTGGTTGGTCTGTTTTACATTTTATGAGTTCATTGATGTCCGGCTGACCAAGTTCATTTTTTCTTTGATCTTCTCTGATTGGCTGACAAAGCTTGATTTTTGGTGGGTCTTGTCCGATTTTTTGCCTAAGTTCCTGTTTTCGTTGATCTGCTCTGATATATTGACCAAGTTTTCGTTTTGTTTGGTCTCTCCTGACTTGCTGAAAAAAGTCAATTTTTGTTAGGTCTTTCCTGATTGGTTGAACCAGCTCGTTTTCTGTTAGGTCTTTTCTAAATAGTGGACGAAGTTTGCTTGTTTGTTCTGTTTTGATTGACTGACAAAGGTCATTTTTTGTTTGATCTGTCATGATTGGTTGACCTAGTTCTTTGCCCGGTTGGGCTGTTCCGATTGGTTGGCCAATTTTGTTTTTTGTTTGGTCCGTCCTGATTGGCAGACAAACTTCGGTTTTCGTTTGGACCGTTCTGATGGGTTGAATGTGTCTATTCCTATTTCGTCCAACCTTGATTGGTTTGTCGAGTTTAACGGTACCAATATTCTTTTTTCTTATTGGTGGGCTGATTTTGCTTTTAGTTACGTTAATGCTTATTGGTTGCTCGGTTTTGTCTTGTATGAGACCTGTGCTGATTGGCTCACACGGCGTGACAAGATCTGTGCTACTGTCGTCATCCACTAAGAGTTGGTAAGGAACACAAGATGTTTCTGAGTCAGACATCTCAGCGGACCAGTCAGATGATTTCTGCTTACAGATTTTATGGGTAGTATGTTAGGGCCCACAGAGTCATGTAATCCGGGAAAAGCTGGACTTATAATTTATTTCAATTTAATTTTAAATTTCCTGCACATTAGTTTATATATATATATATTTTTTTATGATTTGATGTCGGATAGTTCTTTCCTTTTTCCCCCCACACTTTAAAACTCCGAGATCTGGTAATTCAATTTTTTTAACCGATTTCCGCAAATTTCTTGCTATCTGCTACCGCAATTGCATTCTTTGTCGTGAAATAGAACTTTCATCTCCCGAAACACTTGGTCCTTCAGACAGAGGAAAAATGTAAAAAACAAGAGAGACAAAATAGTTCCAATGACGCAGTAGGCAAAACGTTCCAAGGCGCTTCCATTTACCCAAAGATCCTCCCAAGAGGATTCTTCCAGTTCCGTTTCCTCCCCTTCGCTCTTAACCTCCTCCTCCTCCTCCGCCTCGGGATCCAATACGTCTTTGTCCGCACTTGCTTTAGCCGACAGCTTTGGTGAAAGCTTCGGCTGCTGCGGCCTCGGCCTCGTTTTGGCGGCGGGCGAGGCCACGGATGGATTCGAATAGTTCTCGATCGGCTTGTATTTGCCGGACAGCCCGCGCGGACCTATCGGTGAGAGCGGCTTAGTCCTGTTCTTTAAACGTATCGACTTCAACGTCTCTGTTGGCGTCTCCGAGGTAGTCGGGTTCGGTGTGGGCTCCGTGAAACTTTTTTGTCGGAAGGTGTCTTTCTCTTGGCTGCTTCCCGAGGAGATCTCTTCCGCCTCATCGTTCGCGTGGGCCTCCTTCTGTCTGTCCAGCGAAGCTCTGCTCATGGTTACAAGTCAGCCGAGAAATCCCCTTCATTTTGTTCTTCCGCGTGGCAATTCTGTGTGGGTAATCATTTTTTTTTTTTTTTGTGTGTTAATATCCCAATTAACTTCTAGATCATTTACTTTTCCCTTGCCATGCGAGGTGATGGTTGAAGATATTTATTTGAGGTGATATCGGCTAGTTGTTTAAAATGCCATTGTTTTGTGTTTTTCTGTGTGGGTATTCATTTTTTTTTTTTTTTGTGTGTTAATATCCCAATTAACTTCTAGATCATTTACTTTTCCCTTGCCATGCGAGGTGATGGTTGAAGATATTTATTTGAGGTGATATCGGCTAGATGTTTAAAATGCCATTGTTTTGTGTTTAGAGTTCACTGTCGCGTGCATTAAATGTAGTTGAAAAGAAAACCAAGACTTGTACATAAGGCCTGTTGACCTGATGTATTCTTGTTTAAAAATTTAAGAACATTCTTCTCTAACCGTTTAGTTTCTAGGGAATCAATCTGGACGTTACTTTTATTCATTATATAAAGTTAGCGCAAAGAGACCTCCTCCACCAGCCGATGATAACTGTGTCACCTTTATTATATAATTGATAAATACATGTACATACATTTTTACATATGGCATGGAAAGGTCCGAATTTGGAGTCGCATTACAGGTAGATTAAAGCGTGCTTCACTTTAGAGTGATGTTTATCTGAATCATGGCAGCGTCTTATCATTTTATGTGATTAAAAGATTGCCAACAAGAAATATGTTGAAGGTTTTGCAATTACATGGCCTAAAAAATACATCCTACAACGGGCAGAGGTAGCCCGTTGTTTCGCTCTTTAAAGAAGAAATAAATATGCTTAAAAAAGTTTTGCGTAAGAATTTGACATGTCAATGGATTTGCAGGCCAACGTTTCAGTTCATGGGTTTTCTATTGCTTCAGACGACAGCTTTTAAAGCGCCATATTTGTTTTTTTCTTTTAACTACGTCACTTCCTGTGTTATAAAAGTAAAATGTATTTATTTTCAAAAGTTTTATACAGACTAATTAAAAAAAAAAAAATATTTGTATATTTCTAGTATTCTAGACGTGAGATTCGATAGCATAGTGTATGATGTGAAAGTGGCCCAAATCGTTTTCAGGCTGAAACGTTTGGTATGAACTAACATGTTTGCTAAACCGAAGAATATATTTATACATATTAGATACGATTCTTTATTGTTCCAAATAAATGGGAAAGTTTTTGTTTTTAATTATTATATTGTGCTGTACATAATCATGTAAGGGTGTTGGGTGGCCGAATGGTCTAAACTGAGAAAATCTCAGGTGGGTGGTCTGGATTTTAATTCAAGCCTTCTGGGGTGATGGAACTCGTTAATCGTGGATGGCAACTCATCTAAGAGAAGGAGACGCTGAATTCAAACCCGGAGATGGAGTCCCGTAGGCGGATAACATTGATACAATGAAACATTCCGACAACTCCTGCGACGCCACCGGTGCCAAGCTGTATCATCCTCATGATGTTCCCTAGGGTTATCCAGCGGCGTGGAGAGGGGCGATTTTCTGTTGGGAACCAGCTTATAATCCTAGAAGAATAATCCCAGGCTTTGTGGCTTTTGTCCTGCGAAGTCTTTACCATCCTCACATTGTGACGGATGGATGCCAGCCAAAAAAAAAAAAAATTCATTTTCAGCACATACATATTTTTAACCGAGATAACATTTTACAATTATAACAATTTAAGCACAAGACATCTAAAAGTATTTCCCAGCCATAAATGAACTGCATTATTGACTACTGTCAAATACTGTTATATTGTGAGACTCATGGCCGTTAAATATTAACACGGTAACGGTATACTTAGATCGACTTCTATATGTATGGCTACAAGTACGATCCAGGCCAACGTACTACCGCACCGGAACACGTGAGAGAAAGTTGTATTCCGAAAAAGACAGCTGCGGACGACGGAGTCGTATTAGGATGCATCCATTCTTCTCACAGGGGCGTCTTTTCAGGGTTTTTTTTCAGGAGGGTGGGCAAAAACCAAAACTTGGTCGGCTGGTTAAGCTGCTTATTACTGGAGACGCCACAGTACACAGCAATTTAAATAAAACCTGCGAATTCGGGGGGGGGGGGGTGGGGGGGGTGGAGGGGGGAAGCAAAGGCCCCCCCCTGCCCTACCAAATGACGTCCCTGTCGGCTCACCCAAGTTGTAATCATATTTTCTAAAGACTATGTTTCTACTTTCTACTCGCAACTCCGTGCGGTTTGTTAGTTTGTAGTATTCTAGTTTTTTAGCTTTATGCCTGGGTAAATAGCCAAGCCACTATAAACGGGATTTTGTAACACTCGTATTTTTTTTTTAAAATAATTTTTATTGGTTTTTTAAAATATTTTTTTTTTATTATTGTTTTTATTTAATTGATAGATTTAAAAAAAAATTGTCATAATAAAGAACAGAAAACATATCTAAAAGACTTAGATTCGAAGACGAATTTTAAAAACCAGTAAAAAAAGTAGAACATATTTTTTAACATTCATTACGTAAAGAAAGTCTGTGGAGAAAATATTTTCAAAAATTAGTAAAAAAGAGGAGGGGGGGGGGACACAACATATTCACGTTTCTTCAACATTTCTTGCAATTCATTGGCTTCTTAGAGTGCCCGAACCTGAACCCACAGAACTCGAACCCTGCTGATGACCTTACGCAAACCGAACGTCGAGGTCACTGGGGAAGAACCAAACTGAAATTTATATCACTTCTTATTAGAGCAGACCATGTTTTACGAATGTGACACATCACTACTTATTAGAACAGACTAGTTTTTATGAATGTGATACATCACTTCTTATTAGAACAGACCATGTTTTACGAATGTGACACACCACTACTTATTAGAACAGACCATGTTTTATGACTGTGGTACATCACTTCTTTTTAGAAAAAAAAAAGTTATACGAATGTGACATTTCACTTCTTATTAGAATAGACCATGTTTTAGGAATGTGACATTTCACTTCTTATTAGAATAGACCATGTTATACGAATGTGACATTTCGCTTCTTATTAGAATAGACCATGTTTTAGGAATGTGACATTTCACTTCTTATTAGAATAGACCGTGTTTTACGAATGTGACACATCACTTGTTATTAGAACAAACTATGCGAGTAAGACGTTTCATGCATTAACACGATGCGTGTGCAAGTTGAAGAGTGGTGTGACGAGCTTTCAATAACACGCTGCGTGTGCAAGTTGAAGTGTGGTGTGACGAGCTTTCAATAACACGCTGCGTGTGCAAGTTGAAGTGTGGTGTGACGAGCTTTCAATAACACGCTGCGTGTGCAAGTTGAAGTGTGGTGTGACGAGCTTTCAATAACACGCTGCGTGTGCAAGTTGAAGTGTGGTGTGACGAGCTTTCAATAACACGCTGCGTGTGCAAGTTGAAGTGTGGTGTGACGAGCTTTCAATAACACGCTGCGTGTGCAAGTTGAAGTGTGGTGTGACGAGCTTTCAATAACACGCTGCGTGTGCAAGTTGAAGTGTGGTGTGACGAGCTTTCAATAACACGCTGCGTGTGCAAGTTGAAGTGTGGTGTGACGAGCTTTCAATAACACGCTGCGTGTGCAAGTTGAAGAGTGGTGTGACGAGCTTTCAATAACCAGGTAAATGTAGGGCCGCACGGAGCAAAGAATGAATTCTGGCGCCCGCTTTAGAAAAAAAAATGTATTTTGCCTCAATGACGCCCCTTCACTTTGGCGCCCCGGCATACACCTTCCCTTTAGCATGGCTAAAGGTCATCTATCAGATAACCTCACCGATTTATCTTAAATTTCTCGATGTCTTGCTTTAGGAGATAACCTTTTTATTACCTTGTTGACGTCGCATTATCCCTGTTTCACGACATCTCTAATTGTTTGCATTTTAAAAATCCGTTATATTCACTTCGTTTTTGTTCGTGGCTTTCTGGGTGGCAGAAAAATTCTCCGGACGTCTATTGACCGAATACCCGCCAATCTATCGAGCTGAAATTCGGCACATTGGCCCGTTGCCGATGACAACACATTCTATCAAATTTTCAGCGCCCCCAATCCCGCAAATATTTTTTTTTTTTTTTTAAATTTTACAATCTGTTTTTCAAGAGGAAGATGAAGGAAATATGATGACACTGGTTCACGAATTAAAATTCCCAAAACCTGCGCTAAACGAAATCTTAAAAAAAAATAAAAAAATTATAAATATCGCAAGAGCGTTAGGTGGGTAATACTTTCTTTTGTTTTGTCTGAAATTAGTTTGTGAAATAAATCTGCGGTGTAAAAGCGGGCGCGTCATTAGGAAATTAGTATGGTTCAGGGGCGTGAACAAAATGTGCGATTGCGAGCCTTGGAAAAAGGGGGGCGGGGGGAGGCACTAATTGGGATACTTATAATGTGGGTTATTTATATGCATGTTGTTTTTTTTTAAATTCCCCCCCCCCCCCAACTGCTCGAGATTACATTTTTTAAAGGATTTATACGAGAAACGTTGCTCTTCGGGGCTTTTCTAAAGTCGTACACCTTTCAGAATGCGTTATTCTTACAGCAGCCAACTCGACCTTCCTCATCCATTTTTTGTTCTGTTCAGCCGATAACTTTTTCAAATATAATTTAATTACTTTGTTCTTGCCAGTATAAGTTTTTGATTGAAAAAAAAACAACAGGTTTTACTGGCAAACACCACCATGGAAACCGCTCGATACATTCAGCTTTACCCACCAGCTCAAGCCTACTAGCCCACCTCAAGTTGTGTTTAACACTTGGGATTCGTGTCTCAGTAGAGAACAGTACATTGTTTGACAGATTGAGAACCGTTTATGTTAAAAGCTCAATCAGAGTAAAGATTTTTAAATGGTACACAAAGACCAAAGACAACAAAAGTGTAACATTAAAGTTAATAAATATTTTTATTAAATTAGTCAATGGATGTATCAACTTTTCACCACAAAAAAATGACCCTCCTTTCAATCACATTTTACACAATCACATCCACATAATTTCACACAATCAAAGATTTATCTCCTTTGCACTCAAATTTCTTACCATCCTCACAATCACATTCACATTTCCCACAATCACAATGCAAACAAAATTTCTTGTAATTCCACCAACATTTCTCTCAACCGCAACCACATTTCCGTACATCCCACAAACGCTTCACACAAACCCACAGACAACTCACATAATCCAAATGCTAGCAGTAATGCACCTGACAACCACATCCAGATTTCTCAAAATCACGCCATCATGCCTCACAATCTCATCCATACGCCTCACAGGAGTTTGTGCTCGTGTTCCCTAGCAGGCAGTTCCGAACTAGGCTATCACTGGCCAGGATGGGGTCATGAGCTAGCCTTAGTTGTAAGTTAACATCAGACTTCTTTAACTTCAGCATCCGGTTATAAAGAATATATTTCGTGATCCAGTAAACGTAAAGTCAGTTCATTAATGTCAAGTCGGCTCATTAATGCACTGCTGTTTCATTAAGGTTAAGTCAGTACATTAATGTAAAGTCAATTCATTACGGTTAAGTCAGTACGTTAATGTCAAGTCAGTTCATTAAGGTTAAGTCAGTACATTTATGTCAAGTCAGTTCACTAATGTCAAGTCAGTTCATAAATGCCTAGTCAGTTCATTAATGTCAAGTCAGTTCATAAATGCCTAGTCAGTTCATTAATGTCAAGTCAGTTCATAAATGCCAAGTCAGTTCATTAAGGTCAAGTCAATACATTAATCTCAAGTCAGTTCATAAATGCCAAATCAGCTCATTAGGGTTAAGTCAATCCATTAATGTCAAGTCAGTACATTAATGCCAAGTCAGATCCATGTTGTTATAATGTTTTACCCTATCATTCTGCAGCCTGTTGGTTTGGGGTAAAATAAAATAACAAGCAGGTCACTGATCCATGTCGGCAAGGTCCAGAGCGGCCTGAATACAAAGTTTCCATTGAGTCCCACAACATAACGCGTCTTGGGAAACCTGGCGGTGGCAGCATGGATGTAGGTGTCCACTACTTCGTCCAGGTCTCGGGCAGCCAGGGCACAGCAGAAGAGCCTCACTAAATTGAGTACTGAGAAGATTAAGAAAGTGAGGGTTTTTGCGTGTTTTTTTTTTTTAATGTGTCCTTCTGTTGGGGAGAACAGGATACTAGGGGAAGTAAACAGTCTAGGCAGAAATTTTGATGGCTGTCCACTAATTAAACCTCATTAGACAAAATATTAATTCGCCTCTTTGTTATCCAATAATAATGAATTTTACGTGGGAGTCCATTCTAAAACCTTTTTTGAAAAGTTAATAATTTAGAGGGAAAATACATAAAACCCTTTTTTAAAAAACAAAACGCTCTCTTCACTTCTGCATATCAGTGTTGGCATTCTACGGGTTTGAGCTACCTGGGGCTCTTACAGTAGCAAAAGCTTAGTAAGACATCATTTGCATTATCACAAAATAATTTACTGCCAAGTTTGCTTGCAATTTCCCAAAAGATTACCAGTCTTTATAGAACAAATATGTAGCTTACATTTTGTCTTGAATTTTTCACCGTAAAACTGTCGAAGTTCGGGCCTAAGTTGACTGTACATTTCATCCATTGACCTTGAATGGATTTCAGCATCTGTTGAATTTTTTTTTAGTGAAAATCATGTGTTGCTTTATGAATGCTTTAAAAATTAGTTCGTTTGGATTTTAATATTGAATGACATCATGAACACAACAAGATATTGAATGACATCATGAACACAACAAGATATTAAGGATGTGCATTGAATTTGCAAAGCCATTAATGATGATGAACAAATCAAGTCATTTATTGACATCATGAATAAGTAAGTTGCTTATTGTATTTTTGAATATGACCGCCTCTCCACAAGACTTACTTGTAATATTAGTCATGTACCCCCCAGGCTCAATGGTGTGCACTGTGACGCCCGTTGGGGCCACTTCTCTGCGCAGTAAGTCTGTGTATGCCTCCACACAAAATTTAGAGACTGAATAAGGGGCCGGTATGGTGGCATATCTGCCGACGGTGCTCGCCATGTTAACAATACGGCCCCTGGACTTTCTGATCAAAGGGAGGAAAGTGTTGGTGACTAGAGCAGTACCCAGGAGGTTGACATTGATGGTGGCCTGAGATATACGCAAGCAACAAGACTAGCATTTGATGAAGGGTCACTATTTTTTAAAAAACAGTTAATAACATTAAAAGTAAAAGCTATGTAGCTATGAATTTGTTTCTATAACCAAAAAAATTGCTGAACGCTAATGGGCTTTGGCTAAGGGTTCAAAGGTATGATGCAGGATTATGATGTAAAGTAAGACACACTGAAGGAAAATAAAAAATATGAAATCTAATGTCAAAATAAATTGCTTTAAATAAAAAGCTATCCATCCAAACAGCCAATAATTATTTAAACAGAATTCAGGCAATTAACTTTTGTGTTTTAAATGATTAGCTTCCAGATTGAAAAACCTGCTGTGGCTGAATGAAATTTAGGTCATATTTACCACGATGCAAACATTGATGCTGCCAGCGGCTTGTGGCCATAATGAAAAAAAAAAAACGCCCAGCCGCTCCCACCGGCTCATGGTAGTTAACCAGTTAAAAACGGTTGAAAACCCATGGGTTATACTAATGAATGTTTTCCCAGGGGATTATGACAAGAGTAAAGCAATCGCTTAACATTTCCAAAGTGTCCAATGGTCAGGAAACACAGAGGCTTGCATTTCCAAGAGATCAAAGATCTAGGTATAGGTGGGTACTCTAAAAGAACTTTTGCATTGATCTGCCAAAATGAGAGGAACAAAACTGCATGATGGTAAGATACCTGATAATTAGACTTCTTCATCCACTCAACAGCACCAAATGATCCAACGATGCCTGCATTATTTATTAGGGCCCATAGGTCTGCAAATATGAATATGAAAAATGCAAGTAATTATGGTGAAGTTAAAAGATGCAGTGTGGTTTTAGTTTAATGAATGCTGTGGTGTTATAGCTTAATGAAATCCATGGTGTTGTAGATAAATGGATGCTGTGATGTTGTAGTTACATTAATAAAAACAATGATGTCAGGCCAGTAGTCTATATAATGATGTGATGTTATATCAGAGGTCTCAAACTCAAATCATCTGGGGTCCCCAGGGGTTAGAGTCTGATTGAGACTGGGCCGCATCTAGTATTCCATAAAAAAGCGATTACAAATTTATTAAAGTGCAACTGTTACAATCTGCTCAACCTTTATAAATAATAAATAAAAACATTAAGGGTTCTCAAGAACTAGGCTTCACTTTCTTCCTCCTACTTTTGTTTCCAGAGACCTGGCAGCGCTTCTTCTTAGAATCTTACACAGCTGAGCAGCTTTGGCTTGAGTGAGGAAGAAACTGAGACCCTCAGTATAGCTTGAAGATGCTCATCAATAAGTTTGGCCCTGAATTTTGACTTGTTAATTTTCATAGTGGAAAAGAGCTTTTCACACAGAAGGTACTCCCAAAAAGTCATATGATCCGCTTGAACAACCTGGAAATATCAGTGTTTTTCCATTCCCCTCCCTGAACTTAGAATTGCACTGAAGATCAATCAGCTCCATTTGAAGCCCAAAAGGGGGGGGGGGGGGGGGGGGGGGGGGGGGCGCGGGCATCTTCCACATTAAAGGAGAAAGGGTCAGCAAAGAGCTGAAAAGTGGCTTTGTGTGTTTTGAAGTCTAAAAAATGTGATCAAATTCTTCCTGTAGCTTTGCAATGACTTCAGTACTTTGCATTTTGGTGAAAAGCAGAGGTTTCTCTGAGAACCATAACACAAGTTTTGTGCAGAATCCAATGACGTTGTCTAAGGCAACACATACAAGCTGCCCCTCGTCTTGTAACTTCTTGTTGAGTAAATTCAGCTCCTGTGCAATTTCAACAAGAAAAGCCAAGCCCATGAGCCGTTTGGGGTCACTTAGTACAGGAGCAACTACCCCATCACATTATAGGTATGAGAATGGGGAAAACGCGTGGTCCGCATTAACATTAAAATTTGCTGTCATGTAGCAGGCCACAAAATATCGTCTTGTGGGCCGCAAATGGCCTGTGGGCCACGAGTTTGAGACCCCTGTGTTATATCATTTAGTGAATGCTGTGGTGTTTTATTTTAATTAAAGGTTCTGTGCATATTTTCTCATGTAATTACTTATGGATTCAACATGTTCATCTAATGTATTAATTTAAAAATAATAATAAACATCACTTTTTTGTTCCCCTAGATGAACTTTGATGAGCCTTAGGGCTTTTTCCACTGCTGCTGCATCAGTAACATTCATTTGAAAAGCCACCAGCCTTTTGGAGCAGAGTGATGACAATTCTTGTACTTTTTCTTGAGAAAGACATGCAGCAAATACATGACACCCAAGCTTGTCCAGTTTTATAGCACATCTGTGGCCAAATCCTGTAGATTTAGAAGTCAATTTAGGGACTTAACTTTAAGATAAAAAGGTAATCATGAAAATATGGTATTTTTTTTTTACTTTACTTAAATTGTATTAATATTATTATTATTTGGTGCTTTTATATAGCGCAGTACCCCGACCTAATCTAGGCTCACTGCACTTCACATAAAAATTAGCAATTACACAAACGAATAGGCCTACATTTAAAAACAACAATTGGTTGACAAATAATTTACATCAGAAAGTGCATTTGAGGTGTAAAAATTGTAACATGAGAGAGAGAGAGAGTGAGAGAGAGAAACAGATTGAGAGTTAGAGCTAATGTTAAGAATCATTGGCATTGGCTGTAACTAACTAAGAAATCAAAAGTATGTTATACATTAATAAGTTTCTCAATAAAATTTGTGCAAATGTATTGTTTACAGAATTTCTTTCAAAGGACTAATATTGTAACTTAAAAAAAATTCAATTTCATAAAGAAGGCCTAATTGTAATCTGCTTTGAATCTATTCTTTATTAAGTGTAATTTAACTTGGTTAAATTGATCATTTGGAATTCAAGTTTCAAAAATTGGAAGCATGATTGCTTGAAGATTTAATTTGATTTAACAACAATGAACAACCTACCTGTATCACAGCCTGTTATGAGCATGTAAAGATCATCAAATTTTTCCTTAACTAAGAAAGATCTGTAAAGCTTGTTAACTTGGAAAATGAAAACCAACAAAAAAAGCAATGCAGCTCCTGCAATAAAATGTGTGGTCATAAATGAAGAAGCCAACCAGTCCATTTTTCATCAGTGAGTGTCCTCAATAATCCTCTGCAAAGCCAAAAGTGACAAGGCTGATTAAATTATTTTTGATAAGACTGATTAAATTATTTTGATTGGGTGCTTTCAATTTCAAGCAAAAAAAAATATGAATATGGTCATAGACTGAAAGTCAATGCACAGTTGTGTTCCCCCCCCCCTCCCCCGCACTTTAAAAAAAAAATCTTATCTGTAGGCCTACTGTTCATTGTCATTATATTTTTAGATTGATTTTAGTCAATATACCCTCCCACAACACACACAATGAAATGAGAAAAATTAAGTTATCAGGTGAATCTCATTGAAACTATAAATATGATATTGATTTTAATTAAGTATATGACACTAATGAGGAGTAATGAGTGGTGTAGCCCTATATTTATATGAATCATGAAAATGAATTGATAATTTAATAGGCCTATATTTATATATTAATATTTTATTATATGGCATGGGACTATAAAAAATATGTAACTGCGAATTAATAATCCTTTGACGTCGTACTTTTACTTAGTAAACATTATCATTAGTATAAGTATAATATCATATTCATTAGCCTATTCTTATCATTAATTAATATTTACTATGGCATTAATTCATACTGAAACTCGAGCTAAAAGTTACTTCTTAAACTTAGAAATTAATTCATTAATTTAATTTAAATATATAATTTATTTTATTTATTTAATTTTGATCAAGAATAATAATTGCCAGTCAGTAAACTTTACTTAAATTAAAACTTTAAAAAATTAAGTGAATATTAAAATTAAAAGAATGACTGAATGAACTTTTTAATTCTCAAAACTTCAAAGATGGTTATATTTCGGCCAACTAACCCCGTTTTAAATAAAGTATAAAGTTTACGTGTCCCATCGTCTACACTCCCTTGGCCGGCCTTACGTGTGGGCGTGGCAAACGCTTAAGACATAATAGTATAATCATTTTTATTGGCAGTTTTATAATTCAATATAGTTTTAATTCATCACACTTATCCTGATAAAATGTTATACGCTTTTATAAAACTAATTTTAAATCTGATTTATTATAAATTAAATGATTAAACAGGCCTGCTGTGCCAAGGCCAAAGGCCTAAGCCTACTGAGCTACTGTGCAAAAGTTAATTAAACTTTAAAGTTAAAGGGCCAAAATTTCATAATTTAAATAAAGTTATATTATTATATGTTCAAATTCTATTCGCTTAAAGAGTAGGTAGAGCTTACACTTGACTTAACTTAACCTGTGTAACTAGGAAGAAACGTTAACTAGATTATGATAGGTTCTCAATAACAAACAAACAAAATTGACTTAAACTTAAATGTATGAGTATGAGAATGAGTTGATTAATACAAATACAATGATGAAATCGTAGTTAACAAATAGTAGTAGAGTTCGTGATGAAATAAGTCACTCAATATATACTGATAAAACTTACTAAATAAAGTAACATAACTTGGGCAGCCTGTAGTACGAAACATTAGATTTGTCCCAAGCAGAGTAAAAGTCCTAAAGACGAAGGCCAGCGTTAAAATTAAAAAATTAAACGAAACGTTCTGAACTTCTAGTTTATAAAGTTTCTTTCTGATGTCATGTTTGTTTTTTTTTCTTAAAAAAAGAATCAATTCTTCAATTTGAATCGCCTAAGTCTGGTATAAATCATAGTTAAAAGATATAGGTTTTTCATCTCATAATTACAAATAAATTATCTTTGGGTGTGCAGATCTTTTCTTTTTTTTGAGGGGTTCTTTTTTAAACGCGTTTCCGGAGCTGGGACTGGATCATGTTGATGATCATCATGATGGAAAATGGGTGGTGGCTGCCGATACTATCCAATCACATGGCGATACGATACAATTCAGGTCATTATGGATATGGATATTAATAGTATCGATTTCAAAACAAAAACCTCCATTTAAATTTAAGCTTTTCTTATATTAACATTTTGTAAACATTATTTAAAAATACCGCGAAACATATTCAAGAGTTCATTGTAACTTAATGTAAGTAAAAACTATTTGATTCAATAACTTTGGAAAACTAGTCCCAATTGACATTTTCATCCGCCACTGGTTGACCCACTTTGTGACGTCACTCATGCCTTTCCCTCCAGACGCCATATTGATTCGGTGTAGCCCTTGTGGTATTTGCAGGCACGATTTTGTGAAACCTTTTCAACAACGTCTACTGATTTTAATAATTTGCAGAAATTTTATTTTGTTATCGTTCAACTGTCAAAAAGTAAGCAGTAATCGGAATTTTCCAAGTATCGTTATATTACTTGGTCATGAGCAATCAGGGTATCGATCAATCTCTTTTAGTTTTGGACACACGGCAAGATGATCAAATTGGATTCGATACGCTTGTAGTGTGCAGCCTATGTTGACTTAAATATTTTGTCAATAATTCAAAATTATACGGCTAGTGTTGGACTCAATGTGTCACGGAGATAAATCTACAAACTAGGATGGACGTGACACAGGGTTTGATCACAAAACTAGTAAAATGCAAGTCAATAGAACGCGCCATCGCACCTATTGCTGCGCAAGTAAGAATAAATTGTTTTTAAGAGTATTTTCTTTAAAACAATTTTTGTGTGACACATTCATTAGTAATAATAATATTATACTTAGTATATTATCAACACGTAGGACGTACTCATTCACGAGTCACTCTCATTGAGTAATAAGGTTAAGTTTAGTCTGACAAATTGAAAAGCAATATAATATTATTATATATATATTTTTGCAGCACATTTTTTTTGGTGTAGTGTAGCCTATGAATGAAATGATTTTTTCACACACTCACACACTTATCACACTATGTCTGTCACTTTTACTGTTATTTAGTGTTTTTCACCTCAATCATGTCATTAGTCATAGGCATGTATAATTTTGTAAGGCAAGGCTTCACAATTTTTTTAAGTAGACCTAAATACTAAATAATGAATGACTGGCGTCAGTGGCATTGTTTTTTTTTTTTAAAGCTGCAGTCACTATAGTGTCTATAGACCAGTAGTTCCCATCCTGTCTTCTGTGGAGCTCTAATACTAATTAATAATAACTAACTAATACTAATAAGACTCGGTATGCACAATGCAGGCATTTCAGACATAGGCTGTGTTACTGTTACTTGTACTTGTAGGCCTACTATATTTTAAATTCTTATGGCATTGGGCTACAGTTACAGTAGGCCACTACCGTATTAATTTTTGTTAGCCACCCCTAACGAATGCTAAAGCTGTTTCCTTTTTATTTGAATAATTATTGCCAGTCCATCATTGACGATAGTTTTAATTTAATTAATATTATATTACTAACTAGGACTGATACTAGCCCCCACCAGAGTTCTTGCTTTTTGAGATTCTTTGCTCCTGAGTGGGGTGAAGGTAAAATGATTTGGCTTTGTTTTAAAATACTAATTGGCTACTGTGTTATTATTTAATGTTAATAAGACCTTACACACGATCTATAGTAAAGAAGTTCCAACCATTTATAATTGTTTGAATTTGTAAAGATATCATCTTGCCACTGAAGTTATTGACCGTAACTTTTTAATTTTATAATTTGTTTTTATTATTACGTTAATTTCACGTGCTTGTGACAGATGCAGAATAAAAACAATTTTTTTCCACCATTGTTTAAAAAAGCTTCTGACTCCTGAAGTTGAGTTATCCACCTGATTGCTCATGACAATTTTGTTTTTTAGAACATATAGACGTTAGTCATAACAGGCATATGACATTCTGATTACTGCTTACTAGCCATTGATATTGTTTCATTAAGAAGTGCAGGGTTCATGGAGCTGATGACAGCTACTTGAAGTTGACTTTAATATTTCCTAAAACCTGATACCCATACAAACTCTTCATGAACGAATTCAGTACATCTGTGCTGCAGTTTACTCATCTTGATCAAAGTAAGGGAAGCAAAAATATTGGAGTATTTTTGCCTGCAGAGGAAGTGAAGCTCAAGCGGACCAGAGTCCCTAAGCAGCCACCAATGATGTCGGATGGTGTCTCACCTACATTGCCCAAATGTAATAAAGGGCCCAAACGTCCTCGCAGTGTTGTGTGGTACTATTTTGATAAAATTCTGCATGAACCTCAGAGAGCTAGGTGTAAAATCTGTGGTGCTACTTGCCACCACGCCAATAACACATCAAATCTTTTCAAACATCTTCGAGTTAAGCACCCATCAACATATAAAGAAGCAGAAAGTCAAAGAGAAGCAGAAATGGAATTGTATCTGGAGCTGAAAGCCAAATCTGGCAAGCCATTTATCCGCCCTGGCATAAGGGGCAGGCGACCGAAGTCCCTCACCGCAATTACTGCCCCAATAGTTAAAGCTGAAGAAAGTGTTATGATGAACACCAGTGCTAGGGAAACTGTTGTAGTAAGAAAATCTTATGGGGCAGAGAAAGTTAAACAGACCATGACAAGAGCATTGTTAAAAATGATCACAGTTGATCTACATACTGCATCTATTGTCAATGGGAAAGGCTTCCGAGAGTTTGTCCGTTCACTGGACGCTCGCTATGAAATCCCTAGTAAAAAGAACATAGTAAAAAATCTCCTTCCTGAACTAGCCGAGGAAACTAAGCACAAGATTAAGCTTGATGTTGTCATAGCATCTTACTTTGCTTTAACTGTAGAAACTTGGACATATCGTGAGTCACAAATCTTTATGACACTCTCTGCACATTTTATCAAGGACTCGTGGGAGATGTCTAGCATAGTGCTGGAAACCTTCGACTGTACAGAGGATAAGACAGGTAAGGAATATTCCTTATTAATTTTTCATATTTTGTGTCATACATATTTTTTTAATGTTAAGCTTGTCATGTTAGTAAGGACATTGGAAGAAAAATTTCATTGCAATAATTTAAAATGTAAATTGTTGTTGGAATTTTTTTTAAATACATTTTTGCTGTTTTAGTCATTTCAGTATTGGAAAAATTATTTGCTCTGTAAATTTATTAGAATATTTTATAATTTAAGCAATTACCTGCATGTTAAAGTGTTGTTTTTTTTTTGTTTGATTGAGAAAAAAAAAATGCTTTCCTTCTTTTCTTTTTAAAATAATTTTTCTTGTGATCCTTTTTTTCTCACAGAAACTAACGTAGCTACCAGTTTCAAGAGAATCACAGATGAGTGGGGTATCACTGACAGGGTGATAGCCCTAGTTGCTGACAACTCAGAGGATGTTATTCACAGTGCGAGCTTGGTGAATGGATGGGAGGAACTCATCTGCTTTGGGCACACCATAAACCAGGTGATCAGCCATGCATTGACATCGGTGGCAGAGCTTGTGAGAATCCAGAAAAAGACCAGTGACGCAGTGGCATACTTTGAGAAAAGTATCAAAGCCTCGGACACGCTTGCCGCAGTGCAACAGCAGCACAGCCTGCCGGTTCACAAACTCAAGCAAGAGAACCCGCGTTTCTGGACCTCCACATATGCCATGTTTGAACGAATGGTTGAGCAATATGAGGCTGTCAACACAGTTCTGTGCTTCCTAGGAAAAGACCATATGTGCTTATGTGATGATGAAGTGGAGCTGATCAGGAGTGTTGTTGAGGTGCTCAAACCGTTTGAGGCTGCTACCAAAGAGCTTTGTACTGAACAATATACTTACATGTCTAAAGTTATACCCATAGCCACACTGCTGCAGCAGGTCACATCTGTGGGAATGGCCACACTCCCAGGGCCGCAGTCGGCTTTAAAAAATGCCCTCATCTCACAGATGCAACAGCATTTCACCAGTGTTGAAAACAATTACAAGCTGGCCGTTTCCACATTGCTTGACCCCCGCTTCAAGCGCCATGCTTTCACTGATGCCACAGCTTTAGAGCTGTCTCATCAGCGCCTGCTTAGTGAACTTGCCACGGTTGTGCAAATTTCAGACACTCCATCACTCCCTAGTGACCCTTCTTATGCAAATGATACTGCAGGCTCATTTTGGAACATGTTTGACCGCAAAGTTTCAGAGGCTGGGGCCATGAAGACATCGGCATCAGAAGCTGAGAACGAGACCCGTCGCTACTTTAAAGAAGCTAATATTCCCCGTAATGCAAATCCACTGAATTGGTGGAAACTGAATGAGGTTCAGTTTCCCCATCTGAAGGTTTTGGCCCAGAAATATTTATGTATTCCTGCCACGTCAGCCCCATCAAATCGACTCTTTTCAAAAGAAGGTGATTTAACTGCTTTCAAGCGAGAGCAAATAAAACCAGGGAATCTTCACACAGTGTTGTTTTTGAACAAAAATTTAGCCTAAAAATCTCAATTTTAAAAATATATTTTCTGACCTTTTATTTTTTTAATTGATTTTCAAATATCCCAAAAATGTATAATGCTTGGTGAAGTTAGATTCTTTTTGTACTGCTTTTTATTCTTTCCTTCTTCTCTGGCCTATTATGTTCTAATTAGTGCATATGGCCACTCCATTTATCACTGTTCTGAGCTTTCCTTTCTAGCTCATTCCACTACTTGCCATTTTTCTCACTCTCAGGCTAAGTAATTTTTCAAATGTTCCGTGGTCTTCCTCTTTTTTTTTTTATTGCCCTGCGGATTCCATGACAGGACTGTCGAGTAACAATTTTTTATTTAGGTTTTCAAAAGCATCTTCATTTTCTCCGCCTGGTTCTCCAGCTCTTTATGTACTATTGTAAAAAAAAATGTAAAGATAAATGACGCTTTCTTTATGTTATAAAATTCAGTTGTGTATATTTAGGTATATTAATTTTTATTTTTTATATAGTCAGTAATTAGTATTTATGAATTTTAAAAAAAATTCCAGTTGGGTTTCATTCAGGATTTTTTTGTATTCTTCAATTTGCTTTTGTCTTTAAAATTTTGTTTTCAATGGAATCTTTTGTGTGTCTTTATTTCATTGTTTAATTGAACAATTTTTAATCTGCATTATTGTTTTAAAAAAGGACGTACATTTTAAAAACCAAAAGTCAGCATTTGTGAACATTTGAGAAAATTGTTCCATAATATTTTCCATTGGATTTGATATGGACATCTGCCTTTTTTGTCCTTTGTTAAGATTGACTAACATTTCATGTAGATGATACATGAGATATTATTACACTCACATGTACATAGATAATTATGAAACCTTATGTAATGATGATAAGAAAAGTTACAGTGTGCAGATTATATTTTGCTCCTTTGTGTGGTATTCTTCCCATGAAATGTTACCACTACAAGTGGCCGATCACCAGTATTACAGTATTTGTTAACACAGACCAAAAATTTACGATATTTGATTCTCGTGCATGTAAGAGTGAGTGAGTGTCTGACACAGCTTCATTATTACCCCATACCTTTCAGTCATTCATTGTCTCATTTCACCTTCTTTACTATGATGATAACGATTCATTATTATTATTATTTTGGTAAGAAAATATTGTGTGTAAAGACATGTAGCCACATTATGTAAAAGTAATATTTTTGTTATATTATCAAGAATGTCCCTACTTATGCACTGGTTATTTTTATTTGATCTGGTATCCATTCTACAGCTTCACCTTGGCTGGTGTAATTTGAAGAAGAAAAAATGGCTAGATATTTTTAAAAATAAATTATATCTCTTTATGAAGAAATTCCAAGCATAATACAGTGAAACAAACATGCTTTTAAAAAAAATGAAGTTTAAAAAAAAATTTATGGTCATTGATTCAAAACATTTATAAAAGTACAAAATGTCTAAATAATAGATATTGTTAAAGACTTGAATAGTAGTATATTAAAGGTCCAATACAGCCAACTAATTGCTGAGATGATATATACTTGTTACCATTCTGAATATAGTTTTTTTTTTTTTAACTTTAATATTTAGAGCAGCCCAAGACACTTACTGTTTCAATTAATTCACCTATCCTAGTGGACATTCCAAAAAGTATAGTTTTGGCCTTGGTTCTAAAAAATTTGTTTTTTGTAAAGCCACCATCTTGACACTTTTATTTTATGTAGTTAATGATTTAATGTTTATTAATAATAATAATTAATAGAAAATATCTCATTAATTTTTTATTTGTTTTTACATACAGCTTAGGTCAGGCATTGTTGTGACCTGACAAATTTAACATTATGAGCTTAGAGCTAGCCACCTGGAAAACTAGCTATAAGAACTGTTATTTTCTTTCTACTTTCTCTATGAAATGCAAACAGTTGAAGGCTGAACTAAAAGATACAAAAGAAAATTTTAACTAAAAAAAAAAACCAGTAGGGATTCAGCAAAGAAATAGGTTTAATGTTAAAAAATGTATTTTAAGACATTTTTATAATACCTGATGATTATGATTAATGACATCACTTTTACTTTCATTATACAGCTTTTTTTTTTTTTTTTTTTGTGGGTCAGGTATTTTTTTTTCAAGTCGCTAGTTAACAATGGAATAATTCACAACTAACTACTCTGTTTTTAAAATTAGTAGAATTACTTTCTAGAGTAAAACTTTAATTTTTTTTTCTTTTTTTTTTTTTTTTTTTTTTTTTTTTTGTTTGTGGGTCAGGTATTTTTATTTCAAGTCGCTAGTTAACAATGGAATAATTCACAACTAACTACTCTGTTTTTAAAATTAGTAGAATTACTTTCTAGAGTAAAACTTTAATTTTAAAAATGGGCCTTGAATATATCAAAATGTTTTTCTTTAGTATTCAGTGGAGTTTAACTTTAAAATATTTGAGGAAAAAGCTTTGTCTAATATGATACTGACAAATGACCAAATGAAGTTAGCAACATTTTCATAACCTCTATAACGTCTCCTCTAATTTCTCCTGACAGTGTTTAGTTTTCCCCCACATTTTTACAGGTCATTTTGTGATAAACCCTTTGAAGATTGTGTGCCTGTAATGCAATGACATTTCAAAAAATGTTTGAATCTAAATCCAACTGGACTTCCAAATATTTTTTTTTTAAATATCCTTTGACATGTAATTTAACTCTTTACTGACAATTGATTTCTTTGAAGATGGCGTTGTTTGCTTTTTAAAAAATATTAAATGTATTCATGCGAGCACCCCTATTTTATAGTGGACACAGTTAATGGGTTGTGGATTTGAATTCTGGTCATGATCTCAGAAAGAATATTTCCATCCGTTTGCAGGCAAGGAGCTGGCATAAAACCCGGGTTGAAAATATTTCTAACTATATTTTAAAATGTTTGATCACACATAACCCTCACAAGATAATTCTTTTTGTGTTTAATTTGTGTCAATAAAAAAAATATCAAAGTGTTGGTTATCTCCTCAAGCTGTTGCTAAACAAGAGACAATTGTTTTACTGACTGATACATAAGTCCTCGTCTGAAAATGTTTAAATGTTGGTTCGGCATAAAACACAGTTTTCAAATCCTTGGTGGTTTACAGGGCTTTCGCACACAGGTCCACAGCTAAACTTTTCCATTTTTAAAACATAAACTTTTTCTTGTTTTAACCCTTTTATTTCCACTGAAGTTTCTTTAATTGTATTGATTGATCACTAACTTATGAATTGTAAATTCATGTCAACAGTGATCACGGATTTACTTATTTAATGAGATTAGTGTTGTTTGTTAAAAAAAAAAAAAAAAAAAACAGTTGACATATGACACAATATCATATATGGATGGCAATGGGTGTAAGGGTAACTGTGCCTCAGGTGTTTTTTTTTAGATTAACTAAATAATGCAACTTTGTCAGTGTGTCTCTATGAGGTTATCTATATTGTTTCATTGCTTTTGGACAGAAAAAATCAAAATGTGTAGAGAAGGGGGAGGGGGGTTGATTAACTGAGACAAATTGTTTAAAACCTTTTTGAAGTAGCAATGATCTTCATAGTTTTGATATGTAATTAATTATAATCTTTTAAATAATGGTTTTAAACTGTTGTGCTTTCTTAAGGGGACATTAATGCCGCACATGGGGGGGGGGGAGGGGGGGGAATTATCAGACATGACTTCTATATCACTCCTTTCATCTTTGTAATGGTTTTAAACTGTTGTGCTTTCTTAAGGGGACATTAATGCCGCACATGGGGGGGGGCGGGAGGGGGGGGAATTATCAGACATGACTTCTATATCACTCCTGTCATCTTTGGTAATAATGTCAATTATTCAACATGCAAAAAAAAATAAAACATAAAAATTAAAAACATGAACCCCGATTTCTGCCTTGACTGTTTCCCCGTGTGTGTATTATTGTTCATTGTTTTTTTTTTTTATAGTGTAACAGCTTGTTATATAATGTCTTTTCATCCCTTTGAACTTGTTAACCATCATTGGTACATGTGCTCTTTTGCTGGTGGCCAACAGCTAATGACTGTTACAGCTTTAATAGAATAAAACGGCGCTCTTCAAACTTTTTTCCCACTCGCTGCACACCTAGACCCTTCCTAGATTTTTATGCACCCCTCAACTATTTAAACCATGACACAACACCACCACAAAACAACACACACGCACCTCCCCCCCCCCCCCCCCCCCCCCCAATTAAGGACCCAAAAACCGATTTACTCAATAAATTTTTTTTTTAATTTCTAATCGGTGGAAATTTAATTCACCATCACCTGGCTTTGAAGAACCTCCACCTTTCATTTATAAATTAAAACAGGATTGCAACAATTTGTTCACATGAGATCAAATTGGTTAAAATTTTAGCAGAATTGCAATTGCCTCATTAGAAATTCTAGGATATACTTCCTTGACAAATCCCAGTTTTAAATTTTTTTTTTTTTTACACAACTGCTTATGTCTGTGTTAAGATTTAAAGTGGAAATTTTAAAATAAATTCAACACAAAAAAACATGTCCATTCAAACGCACAATTAAAAATACCGGTAGTTTTTTTAATACAAATAAAAGCAGCTACAACTGACTTACTTAAGGCATTCGTGTGTAAGGTTACCATATTTATTTTGATGCTGAAAACGAATCAAGCCACGCAATAATGGTAATAAAACAGAGCAATAATTGACACCCCAAAAAATATGTAGCATGTACAACACGTGTTTGACAGTGTCCATAAATCAGAAAAATCTTGGGTTTCCTTTTATTGGTGATGAAAAGTTTACTGTTAGTGTTATAGAAATTTTAAACAACAAGCAATTAACAGCTAGTCGAATAGTTACACAGTACAGTCATGAAAAGCGGGGATCAAATTAAACTCGTCACTTCAGACACATCAGGATAGTAACATGTCATGTGACCCTCCAAACACACAGATGTGCTGTGCTCTTTAACTTCAAACATTTGACAACTTTTTAATCAGCAAATCATTTTCCCTTTTGTATCAACATATTCATAATTGTCTCCATGTGTTCTTCTTCGTCCTCTTGCATGCTGAACTCAATAATTTCTGCACTTGAAATAATTTATTTTAAATGTCTTAAATCAATGCTAGAAATAATACCCTAGTGAGAATAGTGAACGGCAAAAAAAGTTTCTAAATTATTTAGCATGTCAAGTTGTTTTTTTCAATTGAGACAAACAAGCCTGAACTCATTTCTCAGCCTTTGGAAAGTAGACTAATTTCCCTTAGTGTAATAATTTGATGGACAAAAGCATCAACAAAGAAATGAAGGGCAATTATCATAACCAATGTTCCCTCTAAGGTTTGTTGGTTCCGTCTGCAAAATCATAAATTTGTGTGCACATTTTTACAGCATCAATTTTTTTGTGTGCAAATTTTACAGCCTGCAGACACAAACACACCCTTAAGTGGAAATTAGCTGTGCTGTGTCTGTGAGATTACTGCGGAGCCGCGCAGCTTAAAGGGAACATTGATCATAACTATTCTTTTGTAAAGGTGTATTAAATTCATCTCTTATGTAAAATATTCCTTTAACCTAAAGTGTGTTGAAACTGAAGACTGAATTGTATTCTACATTAAATACCGGTAATAAATTATTAATAAATGCTCTTTTCATGGCTTAAAGAGCAGCATGTGTTTTACTATTCAAGTGACGTCTAATCTTTATTCTTACCAGCCGGTATAGTTCAGGTGCTTTAAAACGACCCATTTATGCTATGAATAGTGGACAGGGCTGAGGCAACATGCCCCCACCCTCTATTTTTGCCATTTGCCTCAGATTGGCTATTTCAAAGTGAACACATTTTAAGACCGCTGTGATAAAATTTTTGTAAGTCGATGTCTAAAGTTATTAGAGAAGTATTTTTGGTAGCCAGGTTAGCTAGTGTCATTTGGAAACCTCTAAACTAATTTCTAAGACAAGCATTTAAATGTCTTTATCTCACCTTTTCCTTTCAAAAATGTAATCGCTAAATGCCAAGGAAATAGAAAAATGCTACCGTTGCCAAATTCTTAGTAGACTTAAAAAGAAACAAATTAATGAAGAGAGATGAATTACTGTGTGACCAGGTCAAAAGACGATTTTGTTTCACCCAAACTTCTGCTACATTGGAAAATTAGTCTAATTCCTTGTGTTCATACAATTATAAAATGTGTCAATGGAACTAAAATTAATTTTTTAACCAATCCAAGGGTGAAACATTAGGTTACCACACAGTGGGAACACTTGGCTCCTATGTTAAGGGTAACGCTAAGTGAACACTGATTCTAAAAAAGAAAAAAAATTAACATTTGACATATTTTTATATAGTACAGCCCTTTGTATAAAATTATGTTTGCACAGGTAGTTCAGGGGGTCTCAAACTTTCTGCTGTAGCACTTATTGAAAGAAGATACCATGCTTAATAGTAATAATATTAGCTGGCAGGCTTTAAGTTTAAGCCATTAAATTATCTCCATGGATCTTTCTGGTAGAAAAAGATAATAGTTAAGTGTGAAGCGCATAAAAATTTGTTTTTTTGTCCAAATAAAGCACTTTTATCTAAGATTTTATTTCCTGTTACTGGTGCGTTTTGTGTCTCTTACTAGTGCGTTTTTTCTATTACTGTTGCTGTCTTTTCCTGTTACTTTTGCCCATGGACTCTCAGATTTATGTTTATAATCACCAGAAGTTTTCATTTATTTCATAAATGTCTGTTATTTTAATGCTAGAATAATTACATAAGTTGTCCCTGTGAATACAATGATACTTTTTTCCTCTTGCTAGGTGTCACTGCTGATAATAATAGCGGAACAAAAGGAAAACATTAAGTCATCTTCTGACGGTGAGACGACGCCTGCCATCAAAGAACAGCACAGAAATGAACAAAGTCTTGTTGGTTTGGCCACCAGGATTATGTCAGATGCTGTCAAACAGTTCATCAACGTGGGCATTAAGCACAGCCAGAGGTCAGAAAATCAGGTGAGAGGGACGGTTTGACGTGCAGCCTTGAAGTTTATAAAGCTAGTAATTGTAATCATTAAGGACTTTTGCAAATTATTATAATTAATGAATGATTTAAATGATCTTATCGTCTTGAAACATTAACAATTAATTAACCTAGACTATATTGTTTTATTGACACATATTGTGTCTCATTAATCGACTTAAAGCTTTATCGCAGTCCAACCCTCTTTATAATTAAAAATTAATAACAAAACTTATAATTTTTAATAAGTTTTAATTCTGATGTAATCACATCATTTAACATTTCTTTATTCATTGGAAAATCTAAAGCATTCTGATGTCATCTCTGAACTTAAACATTTCTTTGTTTATACCAAATTGAAGCAATCGAATTTTAACTCTGACATGTCCTTTTATTTACTTTATTGTTCATCCTTCGCATGCAAAGATGACCAAGGCAATTTTCAACTTAAGTAGTAGTCTTGACTTGAGCTGTATTTTGTTTAATAGTTGACGGAGAGTTGCTCAATGTGTCAGTCTCACACTGTCTAACTTGACTGTTTGTTCCAATGGCAAGACTTGGTCAAGACGGCTGGAAACAGACCTGCAGTGTTTCTTTTGTCTCACTGTGCTCTTTATGTGTCCCACATAGTAGGAGTTGTGGGAATTTTTCATTAAGTCAACGTCATGACGCCTACGGGACCCAGGGTGCTGGTGCTGTTTTTTTTGCTTGTCTAGGCTTTGCTGGGGATGGAACTCCAAGTATTCTAGCTTGGGATTGACTCACATATCACTTAGGTGTTCAGACCAGGTTTTTTGATGCCCACAACTCCAAAAGCAAATTCTTAATAGTATTTATTTTTAACTACCTTCACTAACACAGACCTGTTTACCCTCCAACTCTTAAAATCGTACAATATCATCAAAAAATCCTTCAATACATTATTTTATAGTAAAAAATAAACATACAGTATATATAATTTATACACCTCAAAATCGTACATTGTATGCCAAAATCGTAAGCGTCAACATGTCTGCTATCATCACCAGCTTAACAGTTTTCCGTTTATAAGGATGGCTAACATCACTAAACCATCCCATTTCACCCCCTCCCCTCTCATTTTCTTACAGGAGTTTGTCACCAAAGTAGCATCAGCTAATGAGAACCTTACCATATTGACTGACCAACTGTTAATTGTGGTCCATCGTTTTGAGTCAGGGACAGCACCTGACAACATTAAACAGATTTTATGTCAGGCAGCCAAAGATGTTTTACAAGGTGTTCTAAAGGTATGTTAGTTATGTTAATGTATGCATCAATAATGTATAAAATAAATTAATGAAGCCTGCCTTGTCGTTTAAGTAACATTTTTTTTTGCTAGGGCTGCCTTGATAAGGCCCTTTTAGCCAAAAGTTGATGTAGTATAAATGTCCCATATGTTCTTTTGAATGAAAGGAGAGGGGAAAAAAATGGTTTATGGATGGACAAATTTAATTATTTTTGGATTTGCTAAAATTTGGAAAATAACATGAAATCTCTTCAAATTCCGGTCCTTTATTTATATGCATAGCTACAGCAAAATGTGTGAAAATTTTGTTCCAGGTACTTTTGGTCATCGATGACTTCCATGTGAAAGATCTGCTGCAGAAGGCTGATCTAATCCAGTCTATATTAAGGGGAGTTAACTTGGCGGAGGATTACTCACTCATCAAAAAGAGATTGGCGGTATATTTTCTGACTCTTGCAATCAAAGCAACTTACTTATTATCAGTCAATGGCTCAGTCAGTCAATCAGTGGACAATTAAGGGTTTTATCTTACACACATTAAATTATCATTTTAAAATTTTAAAAATATACATATTAAATTTGTTGTTTAATTGTTTGGGATAAAATGAAGTTATTGAATTATTAAAATATCTAAAACTTCACGCATATTAAATGAATAACTTAATTTAAAAAAGTAAACAATTAAAAATAAATAGTGTTAAAATATATTAATCTTCATGCATATGAAATGAATAACTTTCAATTAAAATAAAAATAAATTATGAGTAAATGGCATTAAAATAATTGGTTGAAGTATATTTTTTTCACACCGCTCTTCGTCTTGTAAATAATTTGTATGATTTCAGCACTTGGCTGCCACAGTGATGTCCCTTAGAGGTTTGCTGTTCAGACGTGGACAAAACCTGTGCAGCAAGGACTGTCGTGATCAGCTGACCATATGGGGCAATGTTCTACAAAGCAACATTCGACTTCTCCATCAGGTGACCCGAACGTGCACCCAATACCCTGGCAATGTCTTGGCCAAAGTAAGTGCACATTATTTCTACACCAGAAATTTTTCTCTTGTGTGTACAATTTTGATCAGATGAAAAATGTTACGCACATTCTCATTTTACATGACAGAATTTTTTTTTTTATCAATCCAAATTATCTTTGAGTTTCTTGCTTAACATTTTTTTATTAGTGCCAGGTTGGATGACTGAAACAACTTCATAGACCAACAAGATTGTTTTTTTTTTATTGTTAAATAGCAACTGATTAATTTTATTTTAGAGAGAGAAAACAAACAAAACAAAACATTGTCAGTTTTAAAAGCCTAAGATGTTTGTTTTTATGTTTTATCATCACTGTAGGTCAGCTATGATTCAGTGCAACAAGAAATAATGCAAGCATGTGAGAAAATCAAGCAGCTGTTGACTTTTGGTCCTGATGAGGATGACAGCACTGTCAGTTTTGTTAGAGTTGTGGATAAGGTAAACAACTGCTCTTATTTGCTGTCTTATGGAAAGACAAAAGCTGCCGTCTTTATTAGAACTGTTGTTCAGGTGAACAACTGCACCTATTAGTTACCTGAATTGCCAGTTGTGTTTGACCATTTCAGATCTGCGCCTCTTTTTTATCTGTTGTAAGTATGTCTGCATTGTGGCTCATGGGGAAAGAGTATGCCTTAAATTTATATCATATATCAAACCTAACCTATGTTCTCTCTAACCTATGGGCGTGCACACAACACAGGGTCTGTATTGCAAATACATATGGTCTGTTTTGCCAATGCATGTCTTGCATTCTTCCCCAGGTCATGGATGCACTAACAGAAGCCCAGCGCAGTGAACTGAATGAAGACTTTGAGAGTGAAATAGTCACCTTGGTGCAGCACAGCATGGCGGTGGCCCACTACACACATGGGGTCTACAAGGATGTCATAGTGGCATCTTGCCACAGGGTGAGAACCTGTTGTCCAAATACTTGCTAGGAGGAATGATGGCATTTTGATCACTTGTGTTCTGGCTTGTTAAATTTGGTAGCAGTGCATTTTTAAAGTGGTAAAAGATGTATGAAATAAAGGGGTTTTTTGAGGTGCAATCTTTTAGCTCATTGAATAGAGACACAATAATTTTAGGCAAGGTCATTCTTTTGTATTTACAACAGCTCTTTCAATATTTATTTTTGAAACAAAACAAATTGAGTTTATTCTGATAGCTTGAACTTAAAACGACAAGTTTTTTGTGTGTGTAAGCAGCTGATTTTAATCCCACCAAATAGTCGATGGATATCTGCCGAATTTGGTGGGAAGTTTTCTTCTCAGTATTTACCCCATGTGTGAGAACACTTGCGTTTCTTGTCTTAACGTTTCCATTCCACCTGGCTATTTACTCATTGATGGAGATGACCCAGAAAAATTCATCCAAATATTATATTGTCTTTTGGTTGAGAAGCTAGTATTTACCCCCTTTGTGAGAACACCTGCCATACCTGTCTAACTGGTCCATTTTCCACCCATGGAAATGAGATGAACCCATATTCTAATCAGCTACCTTTTGGTTGAGAAATTACACAACCAATGCGCTACCAGCCCACATAATTCAATGTTAATTTCTGGTACAGAATAAACGTTTTTCCACTTGAATCACATGTAAATAAACTTGTTTAAAAACACCATCCACTGCCATGAGTCACAGGATTTTTTTGGGTGTCTTCTTTTGGGAAGTAAAATTATTTGGCACTGTTAGTGCATAAAAGTTGGTAATTTCATGTACACATTTTTTTTGAAGGCTTTTATATGTGAAGCAAAAGGCAACACTCCACAATTATTGTTTCAGATTCTACAGCTCAAATCCCAACTTGCTGAGCTAAACCTGGCCATTAAAGATTCTCCCACCCAGAGACAAATGAGGTGACAGGTTGTGTTCATCTTAGCTTTTCTAACTTATTCCCTCTTAGCTTTCGTAATTTACTCCAACTTGGCTTTCGTAACTTATTCCAACTTAGCTTTTCTAACTTATTCCCTCTTAGCTTTTCTAGCTAATTCCATCTTAGCTTTTCTAACTTATTCCAACTTAGCTTTTCTAACTTATTCCATCTTAGCTTTTCTAACTTATTCCAACTTAGGTTTTCTAACTTATTCTATCTTAGCTTTTCTAACTTATTCCAACTTAGCTTTTCTAACTTATTCCAAATTTGCTTCTCTGAATATCTACTGAACATCCCAACTAAATCTTATAATTTTGTTGTAATCCGTTTCTTAACTTCTCCTATACTCTACTTAACTCTAAATCTATCTGACCTGATGCAATTTCTGTGAACTGCTTTTTTAAATTTAGGTATGACAAAAAAAAGTCAAGGAATAATGTGTGTTCCTTCCTTTGCTCATCAGATTTGATTTTTCTAAACTTTGTGAGAAATTGCTTGATGAGGTCTGTGACCTTGAGAAGCATGTGAACATGACCTTGTTACAGCTTATCATCGAGACTTTTCTCAGCCCTGCAGAGGAAGTTTTAAAACTAAAGAAAGTGGCTTTTATACAGGTATGCTGGCTTAATACAGGTGCACTGGCATTTTCATACACATTTTTTTAAGTTATGCAAAACGTTATCCTGGCAATTGGACAAAGGTTATTTTTTTAAAGTTTAGATATATCACCCACAGCCTACATCTTTGCCAAGCCATTGTTCCCTTTATCTGTACCCACGAGTGAGTTGTACCCTTAATCAGTACACAAGAGCTGTATCATTAATCTGTACATAAAAGTTGTACCCTAGAGCTGTATTTGTCCATATATTTTTACCATTACTTAGTTAATTCAATTTGACGCTGAGGTTAAAAGTTCTTGTAACCTGCCCAGTTTTTTTGTATCTAAAAGCAGTGTGTTGCGTAGATAAGATTAAGATGAGATGAGATACCAAGCCTTGGGGTTCTTAAGGCGAAATCTAAAGTTTGGCAACTCCTGTGTGAAAGAAAGAGCATATAAAGCCTTTATCCGTCCGATTTTAGATTATGCATCTTCAGTCTGGGACCCATTTACCCAGAAGAGCATTGACAGGTTGGAGGCGGTCCAGCGACGAGCAGCACGTTTTGTCCTAAACCGCTACAGGAATACCTCTAGTGTTGGCAGCATGTTAGAAACACTAGGCTGGTCACCATTGGAGAAACGACGACGACAATCCAGGCTCTCCATGATGTACAAGATAAATAATGGGCTGGTCCACTGTTCCGGTATTAAACAGAAACTCGTCCCTCTCCCCCATAGACAGCGACGAGGCCATGACAGGCAATTCAGGCTCATACCAGCAAGAAGCCAGTATAGGAGCTGCTCATTCCTGCCCAAGACAATCAGGGACTGGAACCATCTTTCAAAAGGAACAGTTGAGGCGACAACACTAGACGCATTTGTGTCTATTGCCTCAAGCCTTCAAACCCCTAGTGCATAATTTCCTCATCACCACCAGTAACAGAAACATTGCAAATCCCATCTACATGCATAGGAGCCAAAATGATCAATAAATTGATCGTGGGCCCTTAAGATATAGAAGAAGAAGAAGATACTTTTATTGATCCAAAGAAATAGAAATTTTTAATTTTTTTCAATTCATCTTACGTATTTTTTTCAGTCCTGAAAATCCTTGTTTGAGATTTTGGTTGATCCTTGAAATGAGTCTGTGGCAAGAAATTTGTGTATTAATTGTGTGGTATGAATGACTGTTGAGTGCTTTAAAATAAAAAAATTGAGTAAAATGTAGAAAAAAAAAGTATAATATTTCTTAACTACTATTTCAAGAATGCAGCAGCTCAGAACTCGGACCCTCACATGACTCGGGTCAGCAAGTTTACAGCATACACAGAGCACATCTGTCACATAGCGACGCTGGTGGCTGCAAGTTCTACAGACAGTTCAAGTAAGGTGGTGACTTTTATAAATGTTATTTACGTGTATAGTTTCACTGATCTGTGGCTGGGTCTTCTGGTTGCTCTATAATTATGTATTTCCTCGGAACATTCTGCCCTTAGGTTTCTGCCTGTATATCACTTTTGCTGCTCTACGATCCAGCATCTTCTCATGGTGTCCTGTCCAACAAGTCTGTATTTTTTAATTGTTGCGACTACGGGTTGGTCTTTATACAATTTGTAAAGCTCTTGGTTTGTACGGATTCTCCAGATATCATTTTCCATCACCGGACCATATATATTTCCTGACGATTTTCCTCTCCCCATTGGATAGTATAGAACCATACAAGGTATTATTAACAGGGTTTATGTTTGGGGAAGTAACAGGGTTTATGGTAGGGGAGGTAACAGGGCTTATTGTAGGGAAGGTTTGGGAAGAGACGCCAGGAAGGTTGACTAGGAAAACCATTATTAATGATAAGTGATTTTTTAATATAATGATACGGGATGTTTTACATTAATGATAAGTGATGGTTTGCATAACAATCGCTGATTGTTTACATAAATGATAACTGATGTTTTACCGTAATTGTAAGTGATGTTTTATATTAAGATAAGTGAAGGTTTACCTTAAGATTAGTGATGGTTTACATTAATGATAAGTGATGGTTAACAGGGTGATCCTGATCTATTAATGCCTTGTGGCTGTTTTCCGACTCAAAGATTAAAAAAAAACCCTGGTGCCCACTTCAGAACAAATCCACTTTGTATCAGTAACAAGTCGACTTAAACAAAGATAGAGTTTGGGGACAAAGTCAAGAGTAGTGCATTGAAGCACTTGTGCACACACCCCTCCCGCCCAGACTGAAAACAAACATATGTATGATGCAGCTAACAAGACCTACCATACGCTGGCACATAATCTTTATAAGTGAAGAGAAGTGCATTCAAGCACTTGTGCACATACCCTCCCACCCAAACAGAAGACAAACATATGTATGATTCAGGCTAAGAAGACCTACCATACGCTGGAACATAATCGTTAAGGTCAAGACCATCACTGCTTATGCTCCCTGATGGTCTCTGTCAGCCTGCTGCATAATGTGGGCCCAGCTGTGTTGAACTTAATCAGTGTAAGACTTTCCCCAATGTCACATCCCCTCGTGCAATTTCACCGTTCTGTCCAGATAAATGAATTGTCAAACTTAAAAAAATGACAGTACCTTAAATCTCATGGCGTTTTTGTTTTGTAGAGGTTCGAGAAATACTGACAGCCGTCAAGGGGCTGGAATCCATCGATCCAGAGATAACTCCTGCGGTCGTCATGAACTGCCAAGACCCTGGCGACAGGTCGTCAAACAAACACCTCGACAGCATCCTCGAAAGGTGGCTGCGAGAGGTCAAGGTCATTACAGATGCCATCGATGCGATCGTTGACCCCAGGGTGCTGATGGACATGAGTGGTCAGTGGCATTTTGTTTCTGCAAAATTGTTATAACTTATTTAACCCACAAATTGTGAACTGTGGCATAGATCATTCTGTAGTGAGGAAGCTCTTCAGAGCTTTTTTAGTGCCTTTGGAAATAGCATTAAATGACATAGAAATATTGATACAAAACCCCAATAAGTATATATTTTTAGAAAGGTAAATGGATGGGGATAAAATTGGCTATATTGTCCACCCCATACAAATTTTGTTCAGTGTTCGTGACCTTGGGGTGCTCAAGGGAAAAAAAATCGACAAATGTCTTGCTTTCAAGTGCTCATAACATCATTAATTTTTATACAATACATTAAAATACTAATATAAACGTGGTAGCAAATTCATTTATCTTTCAGAAAATGTATAGTTTGCTAAGGTTTCAATTACAATTAAGCCTCTGAAAGCAATTTGAGTAATTTTAGGTCATTTATTACTGAAAAAAAAAAAAGAAACTGGGACCACAGCTAAAACCAAGTACAGCATACAAAATCTCAGGCAATAATTTTATTACTAACAAGTAAACATTTAAAAAGGAACTATGGAACTGATTTGGTTTGTCTAACTATAAAATTTATTAGTTCTGATCTATAATCTGTAGCTTCGTGACTAAAATTCAGTCAGTCCTTGTCCGACCTCCGGGACTGGCTTGAAGTCTAACAGTAGGCCTACTGCAGTATCACTAGGACCAGTATCAGATTCACTAGAAGAAGAATCTGAATTGAGATCGTCATGGGGAATGTTAAAATCATCATCAGTATCACTTAAATCCTCTCCTAAAAAGCTTTCAAAAATATTTCTTTTAGTTCTCGTATTGAATGCCCCGCCATAGCTTTATCCATTTTAGCTTTTAAAAAAATAGCGATATAAAACTCCAATTAGAAAGTACTGATTGTTAAGTTATCAACATACAGCTTGAATTGGAAGATGATTTAATTATTAATAAATGGAACTGGCTATAATTCCAGTTAAATATTGGATTGAAAGTTACTATCTGACCGTGTTTTTTTTTATCAGCCAATTTTTTTGGCCGCCACAGTACAGAACGAAAATATCAGCCGTCTTTTTTTTCGGCAGACCACAGTTGTGGGTTAATGTTTTAAGAACATAAATGCTAAGTGTTGAAATGCAGCTTTAAAGAGAAAATTTTAACATTACAAATTTACATTGCAATCATAATTTTGAAAAATAGTAATGTAGACAAAATAACAAATGACTTACAATATAAAAAAAAAATAACCACAATGTGAATTTTAAAATATAAATATGTTAGTTTCAAAGTGTTCAAATGGGATTTTTTAAAAATCAATATCATCCTGATCTAGTAATTTTCGGCCCTAAAAAGAACATTTTTGTATGTTTATACGACTTAAAATATACTAATAGAAAATGTAAAAATGCGTGGGTGGTAATTAAATAAGTAAAAGCTAAAATTTTCTTCGCTAGAGAACTTGTTGGCTAAAGAAATAGAAGAATTCAAGAAGATGGATGGTGGCCCACAGGCCAAGCTGGTTAAGTGCTACATGAGAGTGAAAGGTTTAGTGGAGCGTCCGATGGCCATGGCCGAGCGTCTGGTGGATGAAAACAGTGACCCTATATATCGCAATGGGCTCCGCTGTTTCATACAGGCGTTGGCTGAAAGTAAGAAACATATTTTTAAACTCCACAAACCACTGACACTGATGGTTAGTAACCTCTGTTAAAATGTTTATAAATGTATTTATATTTGGAGTTGGGACAGAGGAGGTAAAGAGGAAGGGTGGAGAGGGAAGGGACACAATGTGTTACGAACTCCCATATGTAGCAAATTGTACTACTTTGGGGTAGTTCAGGTCCTTGGTGCCCAGGGTATGATTTTGAATACTGGCTCTCTCTCTACTTGCTTCCATCACTATGTGCCATGATTATGGTAATGCAAACACACTGTGCATTATCTGTATGCTGGCCAACAAACTGTCCAGTTATCTGTAGCTGGCCAACACACTGTCCAATAATCTGTAGCTGGCCAACACACTGTCCAATCATTTTTGAGCTCTTCTTTACCCACTTAAAAGCAGATATTGCGTCACGATGTAAAGTGCTGTATTAGTTTCCAAGAATACTCCATTGATATAAGCCAAGTGAACACTGATCTCTGATTATTTGCACCACCAGCACTCTGAGAAACAACTTCACACTCAGCTCCAACACGGAATCTCTGTTACCAACCATCAGCATGAGATCTCTCAACACAAAAACTGTCCTCTCTATATTCACCTAACATGTGTGAATCAATTGCACTACAGGACGACTACTAAACTAAATAACAATTTTATTCCAAACACAGTCACCAAACAGATCCTAACACTCTGCTCATAGGAAAGCTTTGATTCTTTTTTTTCTTTTAAATTGAAATCTCCTTACACACTCCATTCTAATGTTAGTTTGATGTGTCTAAAAGAAGTGCTTGATTCGTAGGAATGTCTGAGGCAGACGTTGTGTACAGGGAACTCCTTCAGACCGCACACCCGAACACCAAACAGTTCGATACAGTGGAGAGGAGACTGGCCATGGTCCGGGAGTCCCTGAGAGGTCTGAGGGAGGGGCTGGACGCCAGGGCACACCCTCATCTGTTGAGCCATCAGAGGTTGCTGTTCAAATACAGGCCAACCACAGCACAAGGTCAGTACAATAAGTTATCTTATTTATATGGCTTGTCATTTAGGTAAAAAATAATAAAATAAAAGAGTGAAAGAAAATTGCACCTTTACATTTAATTCATTTTAAAAAAATGATAGCTTCAATAGTAAGGACTGGAAATTTCATGTCATTGTTTTAAATTAAACAAGCCCTGAAATAAGCAACCCCTAAATTACACAATCCCTATTTTCGTATAAATCCTTTATATGCATTTTTTACTATTTTATTTTATATTCTAATTTCACACGCGCTTTTATATCAAAAATGTATTTCCCCCCGTATTTTAGAAAAACAAAAGAAAACTATGCACCAATGCACTTGCGATAGTTGTTCGAATCTCATGTAGCGCAGTTATTTGGAATTTCATTTCGTGAAATCAGTGTCATCATATTTCCTTCATCTTCTCCTTGAAAAACTGATTTTTGGGGTTGGGGCTGAAAATTTGATAGAATGTGTTGTCATCCCAAGTTTCATCTCGATAGGCTGATGGCAAGTGCGTCAATAAGCCATCCAAAGATTTTACCACATATCCAGCCAGAAAGAAACACACAAAAGAAGCGGAGTCAATATGAAGGATTTAAAAACGACTTTTGGATTCATATTTTATTAAAGATTTTCAGAATCCTGAGCAATTATTCTGATAGACTTGTAATGTGACGTAAGGAGCTCATCTCAATTAAAGCTTTACCCATTCTATGGCAGTTTGCAGTGGAGAAAATAAATTAAAAGCTTCTTTGATTTGGAGAACTGTAAGTTAATTATTTTTGGGGCTGTGCACACATGTGAATTACCGCTAGCTCAATGTTATTCCCAGCCGATCACAAATAATCACTCCATTATTAAAAACTAAAATTTTTATTTTGCAGTGAGACTGAAGCAAGAGAGGAGACAGCTGAAAAATGGGGAAGCAAAGAAAAAAATTGTAAAGCCAGATTTGAAAATGAAAGATGAGAGGACAGAGAAACCAGAGCCCGATTCAAAGACAGCCCAAGAAGGTATTTCGTAAACATTCCAGTTATCCTAGTAACATACACTCATTTTCAAAACTTCACTTCCAGACCGGTTTTCACTAAAATATCAGTTCTTTTTTTTAAAACAATGCTTTTTGACACCAATGTTATCTTCGTGAGATTAATTCATACTCATCTGTTAGAGTCCATTCACTAGTCGGTGCCTAGGACGTCTTAAGGATTTGCTGGGACTTTCTGGGGTTTTCTCTGAGTTTTGACTGAAACAAAACATACAAAAAATATTTAATATTGCTGACAGAAAACAACCAACTGCTTGAAAGCTATAATAAACCCCATCGCCTTGAATTGTATGGAAAAGTTAATTTTTTTAAACAAAAAAACGGTTCAAAAAGAAATTAAAAGACGAATACACACATGAAACGTGGAACACACATATTATAAAGTGCTAGTTTGCTCACCTCCATGGACAGAGTGCTTACAAATGTTTTTTTGTCCTTCTGCATTCCAAGTGCTGCTATTAATTTACCCATTTCATTGCCATTTCATTGCATAAATCATGCAAACAAACTTCCGTAAGAATCATGATTGTGTTCCACTGGAAGGAGAAGTTTTTGCAACGTTGGCATTTGATAGGAGTTAAAATAAGGAGATGCTGTGAGGTATAGAAACATAAAGCCCATCATCATCAAATGGAAATATTTGGTGCATCCAGCTTTTGAAGGCACACAGTGTGCTCAAAGCTACTGCAGCAACCAAGTTTTTTTTTATTGTGGTATTGTTAAAATACCAAGTAAAATTATTTAAATTGCTCTGAGGTCAGCTTTGTCGTGAAGCTCTTGAAGTTACATGATTTGTACTGACAGCTGTTCATAAGTTACCTCATCTGTACAGACAGCTGTTCATACATTACCTTATGTGTTATGAAAGCTGTTCATAAGTTACCTTATCCGTACTGGAATCTGTTTATGGAGTGTAGAAGTAGAAATTAGTCAAGCATTTCAATAGTGGCCAATAATCTACATTTTATTAAACTTGACAGTGTCTACTGGGACAAGCCTGGATCTTCTGTATGGCGCTACACCTTCACAGACACCAGGTCCAACTGGCTACAAAAATAACAATCACTCACCTGCTCAGGTATCGGCTCTAGGGGCAGTTATGATGGCAACATCATCTGGTGCAATACAATCAGAATCCTATCCGCAGGTATCAAATCCTGGTAGCAACACAGTGGACCTGGGAACAGGTCCGCAAGCATCAAATACCCATCATAAACCAAAGATGACCACACTTGATTCACTCAACTTTCCTCTGTTGTTTCAAGAAAAGGAGTTGGAAGGAGGTAAGTACTGGGACCATCTGAGATCAATTAATGTTAACATTGTGTGATTTTGTCAGCATCACTTTCATTCTGGTTAATAAGCTGTGACATTGTCAGCCTCACTTTCATTCTGGTTAACAAGCTGTGACATTGTCAGCCTTACTTTCATTCTGGTTAATAAGCTTTGACATTGTCAGCCTCACTTTCATTCTGGTTAACAAGCTGTGACATTGTCAGCCTCACTTTCATTCTGGTTAATAAGCTGTGACATTGTCAGCCTTACTTTCATTCTGGTTAACAAGCTGTGACATTGTCAGCCTCACTTTCATTCTGTTTAACAAGCTGTGACATTGTCAGCCTCACTTTCATTCTGGTTAACAAGCTGTGACATTGTCAGCCTTACTTTCATTCTGGTTAACAAGCTGTGAAATTGTCAGCCTTACTCTCATTCTGGTTAACAAGCTTTGACATTGTCAGCCTCACTTCCAGTTCAGCATTAAGTTTAAATGTTACTACTTGTTTAGTATGTGAGTATTTTTATATTGGCTAGTATCTTTTTTTAAGGAATTTTTTTCCATCTCCCTTTGAACCGAAAATAACAATATAATATTATGTTGTACATCTCAGGACCAGCTGCAGAAATTTTTGGGCTCATCAAGAATCTAGTCTCTTCCTGTGCTGCCAGAGAACAGAAACTAGTGTATGAGATGACCCACAGCCTTTTGAGCTGGACCAACCATGTGACGGAGAATGCAGCTGTTCTAATGGCTCACTGCCCCAATATTTCTAGGAAAATGTTTGTAATTTCTCAAAATTAAATTGTACTGGAACTAATGTTACACCATTGCTTGTTTAACAAAATTACTTTATGCAATACCTAACTGCTCTTATTCTTGTGTTTTAAAGTTTTAAATGTTGGATGTCCTTGTTGAAATGAGAACAAAAATAGTTTTGTTTATTTCTTTCATTTCCTTTGTTTTAAGCTCAGCATTCATTTAGGCTGTATTTATTATAAGGCTTTACTTTTTCATCTTTATTTTAATTTGTCATTTCATCTGGACAGACCATGGCAAATAAATATTTTAATGTTTGCAGAGAACTGACAGCTTTGATTCAGGAAGTGGACAGAACGGCTCCAGTCGTTATCCAGAAGGCGAAATTTGTTTGTGGCGGAGAGGGGGCGTTACTCCAGGAGTTGCTTGTGGCTGGCATGTCGTGGGCACAACAGGTAACAACGTGTTTCTCCAGTTGCTTTAATCCAATTGTTTACAAACTGTACATTTGTTTAATAATCAAATGTTCAAAGCCCAGGCTTAATTAAAAAAACCTTTGTTTTCCCTTGAGAAATATTAAAAGGAAAGAATTTATTTTTGAAAAGATAACCACCGGGTATAATAAATTATGTTACACCTGGCAATAGCCCACCAAATAATGGCATGAAAAGTTAATTTGAAAAAAATGTGCACACCAGAAAGAACTCTTCACTTTGGGGGAAAACTTTGGTTCCAACAAAAATAACATGAATTATTTTACTGTAAATTCAGTTAGTTATCAAACAGTGTTCATTTGACAAAGCAGCTTTTAATATAAAAAAAAAACCACCAAAAAACTGGTGTTTTTAAGAATCCATAGTAGATCAAATAGGAATACACAGCGTCTCAGCCATGCATACAATCATAGATCATTATATCATGTTTTGATTCTTTGAAATGTTAAAGTAACTTGATTCTGTATTTTAATTATTATGTTGATTATACTCTCCGTGAACCTGTCATCAAGACATCATCCTTTTAATCCCACACGCAGCTTGACAGGGCCAGACTCATCATTGACGTGACCACCGACCAGTGGCTGGTCATGGCTAGCAACATACGACAGCTGATGGAGCTAAATCAAGATCAAGTCTTAAAGGAACAGGTGAGTGGGAATAATAATATAATGTTCGGGTGCATTTCTGTTCTTTTAGGTGGGGGGGGGGTGTTTAAAGGTGGTTCCATAAGCCTGCCCACAATGGCTTAACCCAGCCGCTTGCCACTCCAGCCAACCAGTGCATCAGAACACAGGGAATATTTTTTTGTTTGTAACTAGGGGCAGATGTTGTAGTTCATGTGCTTGTTGCAATTAGAATTAGGTTGCGTGAAATCTTGACTTTTTGAAATTATTAGAATTTTTAACATTCTCCTGTGAATGATTGTGCCATTATCTCACTCAGTAAGTATTTCTGGTGGAATTAAAGATTAATTGCATATTTATTCATGTCTAGATGAGTGCACTGGCCAGTGCCCAAAAGGAAATGTGTCACCTCTTAGAAAGAGTTACAAAGCTGAATGGCAACTACCTGGACAACGGAACAGGCAAACTTGCCTTTTTGGTTGAAAGCCGAGATGAACTGGAAAATCTGACCCTGACAATCCAGACGTCTGTAGAGGTGGCGGCCGTCACTGGCAAGTGGGCTTTCTGGGATTATTATTATTATTAGTGGTTTTATATAGCGTGGTACCCCCAGCCTAGGGCTGGGTTTACCACACTGTTCATACAATTTAACAAACATTAACATGAACTTAAAAATTAACATACATTAATTAAATAAAATCAAAACAAATGCATATTCACGCCACAGTTCCAGAATTTATTCACGCCACAGTTCCAGAATTATTTACATGCTTATAGGTTATGTAGCTTGATAGAAGTTATAAATTTAACAATTCTCTTACTTTATAACAGTGGTAAAAACAACAAATGACTGGTGGCAGCTTGGAATGGCCTGTCGTGATTGGTCGGTTTTAATGACATGCGTCCAGTCTGAGGTCAGTGACATCGTCAGTCAGATGGAGAATCTTGGAGAGCAGAGACTGCAATGCTTGCAGGGCATACCCCAAAAAGATGGCTTGAGAACAGCAGACGTTTTGGAGAGGGAGACAAACGATATTCTTGAACAAGTGGATTGTGTTGTTCTAGGGTAAGTGATGCTTCAGGACAAATTTTTTTCTCAAGTTCGTTTGAATGCTCCTGCCCCCCACTGTGTAAATAGTTCAAAACTTTCATGGTGTACAAAATAAATATATAATATAAATATATAAAATAAATTTATAACATAAATATATAATATAAATATATGAAATAAATTTATAAAACAAATTATAATATAAATATATAATATTAATATATAAAATAAATTTATATTATAAATATATAAAATAAATTTATAATATAAATATATGACATAAATATATAGTATAATTATATAAAATAAATATATAATATAAATATATGAAATAAATATATAATATACATATATGAAATAAATATATAATATAAATATATGAAATAAATATATAATATAAATATGTTAAATATATATATAATATAAATCATATAATATATATATATATAGTATAAATATATAAAATAAATATATTAAAGAAATTTATAAGATAAATAAAACTTTAATTGACAACACATTCACATTTAAATGTTAAGAATGATTTTAAAACAATCTATCAACACTGAGCTCTAAAAGCTCAAGTCTTAAAAATGCGTCATTCTCATCAGTGATGGAACACTGAAATTAAGAAGTGATGTGCTTGTTGATGAACTGCAGGCAGCGCTGGCTGAGCTGTGGGGCGTCGCTAGGCAACCTGTCAAGAAGAGTGAAGCACCCTTGAGTGCTCTGTTCTGTGGGCTGAAGCTTGGTGCAGCTAAAATCAGATACATAGAATTGGTAAGGAAATTAGCAACTAGAAGGTTTAAAGTCAAGTGAATGGTCGTGACCTTCTTTTAGCCAACATTTCATAAGCCATGATTTTTTTTTTTCAGGTCAGAGATTATTTAATGATTTACACACACCCACGCCCCCCCCGTTTCTGTTGTATCACAGGCTCTTGACCTCGTGACCTTTGTTAGGAACAATTGCTATGAGTACATGGGGTTTCCACGGCAACTTCTACTGGATGCAAGGGATGTAACAGTAAACAGTGGTAAGTTAAGGAATTTTTCCCTGTTTTGTCAGGGTGACTGGGGGTGGTGCACACTATCGTTTGAATATATTTTAAAAATTTAAATGACCTTTTTATTTTGTTGTTATTTTGATGTAATGAAATGTTGACCCCGTTGGTTGAATTGATGTCATAGAGATTTAGTGTGCAAAACTAATGTAATGTTGACAAACCCTTCATGGCAATATTATACTTTTACTGAAGAGGAAAACCTTTGTTAAACCCATGTTCCATTCACAGCCTCATGTCAAGGTCACCGTCCACCCACAGCCCCATGTTAAACCCGCTCTCCGTCCACAGCCCCATGTTAAACCCACTCTCCGTCCACAGCCCCATGCTAAACTCACTATCCATCCACAGCCCCAGGTTAAACTCGCTACTCATCCATAGTCCCATGTTGAACCCACTCTTTTTCAAAAGCTCCATTTCTCCTCATACAACCTATCTCTTCTTCAACCAAGCAGATTTGTCTCTAACCAATCAGATTTGTCTCCAACCAAGCAGATTTGTCTCTAACCAAACAGATTTGTCTCCAATCAAGCAGATTTGTCTCCTACCAAGCAGATTTGTCTCTAACCAAACAGATTTGTCTCCAACTAATCAGATTTACCAGATGACGTGAAAACAAACGGGAGACAAAAACTTTCGACCCAGCTTCTGGACAAGAGCAATGACCTGAAACAGAAAGCTCTCAAGGCCATACAGACGTGTCCTGACCTTGGCAGGCGGGCAGTCATCCGGTCAACCCTGGACACTCTGGCCAAACTCACATCTGACATCGATAGGGTAATAAGAGGTAAAGTTAGTTCTTTTATGGGTTCTTCTTAAGTCAGTGTATAAAAAAATTACCCCATCAGCATATGCACAAGCACACTAAAGACCTTTATTTTACTTTTGGGGGGGAGAGGGGGGGTATTTTTAGGTTATCTTTTGGGGAGAAAATTTTCAAATGCAAAAGTTATTTTCGCTTTTTTATATTGTATAAAAAATTATCGCAAAATCTGGTCGTAACTCCACATAGCAAAAAAGAATACCGGTATATAATTTGTTTTATTAATTTGTAAAATTAATTACAAATAAACTGATTCATCAAGCCACTGATGAGACAACCAACTGGTATTTTCTCTTTTCTACACCCAGACTTGATTCTAAGGGTTGCGTTTAAAAAAAATGTACACTGAGCCGTTTATGATTTTTTTTGTAAAAATGATAATTTTTGTTGTAATTTTTATCAATTTTTTGTTTGATTGCATTGTTGACTTTCAGAGAATACATCCTTATCAAAGGCAGACATTGTGTTTCTGATTAATTTAAGATAATACAATCATATCAGAGGCAGACATTGAATTTCTGAATAATTTCAGATAATACCACCATATCAGAGGCAGAAATTGAATCCCTGTCTGAGCATTGGGCAGCAAGGATGAAGAAGCTTCTCGTCAGTTTGAAAAAGATGGAAGGTGTACGACCATCTACAGTAGCGGGTAGGCACATTCTTCTATTTATCTCCAAGGATTTATATGGAAGGGGGATTTTTAACACACAGCAAGGGTTCCAAGACACAAAGTGTAATACACACGTAGGTGTGTAATTCGCACACAGTAAGGTGTGTAATTAATTTCAAAACTTAGGCTATATTCAGCAAGAACCATTTGGTGTACTCTTGTGTATTTTTACATGTGGCCTGAGAACTGGTCCACAAAATTGGTTGAAGATCCTCTGCATAAAAAAGGTTTGAGATTCCTGTTTTTGTTTTTTCTTTAATACAAAAATCTACCAACAACTTGCGCAATTCTTGTAATATCTTTTCCAGAGCTTGAAAACTTAAACAGAGGTCACATGAGCAACATTCCACCTGGGAACCACCAACTTTACCAGCAGCAACACTCTGGGGGTTTGGGCCAGCATCAGGACTCTCACGGTGGAGCATCACATTATCCAAATGACCGGCTTCAGCAGCATTCCCAGATCACAGTTGTGCCACATCAACCACCTCTCCTGGCAGGGCCACATCACTCGCAGGGTGACTTGCTTGAACTGAGCGGAATACAGCACCAAAGGCACTTAAATCAGTCTCAGCATCATTTACAGCCACAGCAACATCTTCAACCACAGCAGCAACTACAACTTCAAACACATCTTCAACCACAACAAAATCTTCAACCACAGCAACATTTACAACAACAGCAACATCTCCAACCACATCTTCAATCACAGCAGCATCTTCAGTCACAGCAACAAGTTCAACCACAGCAGCACTTACAACCACAACATCTACAACCACAGCAGCACCTACAACCGTGGCAACATCTCCAGCTGCAACAACATCTTCATATCTCTACCTTAAAGAACCAACAACAGCAACATTCTTTAACTGACCGTTCGCATCAACTGCACCAAGGACACCCTGACATGGTTCATCCCCCGGCTACTCCTCTGAGCCACAAAGGCTGGGCACCTGGACATGCACAGCCAAACAGTGGACGTGAACCAGCCCATTCCGACATGTTAACCCCTTCCGTCAGGAGGACTCTCAACCTGTCACAGACACCCCAAAGGTAAACTACTTTCTCCACTGTCAACTGCACTTTGTTTACCTGAAAACAACCTCACAATGAGGTCAAATTTAAAAGCATCTGAGCATCATTAAAAACATCATTCATAGCAGCATTCATGTTCTTCATTCATAGCAGTATTCATGGTATCATTCATGGCTTCATTCATGGCTTCATCCATAGCAGCAATCATAGCAGCATTCATGGCATCATTCATGGCTTCATCCATAGCAGCAATCATAGCAGCATTCATGTTCATGGCATCATTCATAGCCTCATTCATAGCATCAATCCTGACATCATTCATGGCATCATTCATGGCATCATTCATGGCATCATTCATGGCATCATTCATGGGATCATTCATGGCATCATTCAAGGCTTCATTCATGGCATCATTCATGGCATCATTCATGGCATCATTCATAGCTTCATTCATGGAATCATTCATGGCATCATTCAAGGCTTCATTCACGGCATCATTCATGGCATCATTCATGGCTTCATTCTTGGCATCATTCATGGCATCATTCGTAGCTTCATTCATCGCTTCATAAATTGAATATGTTCAGATTGAATGAGCTGTTATGTCATTGACAGATATGTATCATACGGACAATTAGGATTGGCATCCATCTGATTATTTCTATTTAAAACTGGATTTTGGTCCATGTAATTAAATATGGGACAGACCAGATTCCACTTTACTAACAACCGATACATTTCCTCTCTCTCACTGTCAGTGGCCATGCTGACACAACTATGTCGACTCCTATGGGGAAGTCTGTCAATGTGCTGCTGGTGAGTTTTATGTTTGTCCTCATAAGTTTTTTGTTGTTGTCATAATATGTTTTATGTTTGTTTATATCAGTGGTATGAAGGGAAATATAGAAACCCTGGGAACCTTTCATTGGGTATCACTATGTCTTAGTATTTTTACTGTCTTAGTAAGCATCACTGTGTATTAGTATTACTGTCTTAGTAAGCAGCACTGTGTATTAGTATTACTGTCTTAGTAAGCATCACTGTGTATAAGTATTACTGTCTTAGTAAGCACCACTGTGTATTACTGTCTTAGTAAGCACCACTGTGTATTAGTATTACTGTCTTAGTAAGCATCACTGTGTATTAGTATTACTGTCTTAGTAAGCATCACTGTGTATTAGTATTACTGTCTTAGTAAGAGTTACTATTTATAAGTATGACTAAGTAAGTATAACTATTCATTAGTAATTATATTACTAATCATAAGTGTGACTGTCTAAGTAAGTATTACTATTCATTAGTAATTACTGTCTTAGTAAATAATACTATGTATTAATAATACTTTACATAATTTCAGAGTGATGCACAATATTTGGGCTATCGTCTGAATAGGTGGCATGACAAAATGGGACACGTCGAAGGGCAAGTACGTTCAAAGGTTGTCAAGGATGCCCTTGAGATGGCCAGATTGTGTTCTGACATGGCCATGTTCACTAGAGGACAAGGACCTTTCAAGGTAGTCATTTTGTTAACAAAATGATTAAAAACTATTTATTCATAAAATTAACTTTCTTATGCCTTTTACCCCCGTCTTGGACATTGTCCGTCCACAAGAATTTTCCATTTATCTCGGTCCCAGGCTTTTCTTTCTAGTTGCTTCCAGGTGTATCCCATACTTTGTGTGTCTGCCTCTGGCTCATGTCTCCATGTATTCTTTGGCCTTCCTCTCTTTCTTTTTTTTCCCTGTGGATTCCATGTTAGGGATTGTCTGGTGATATTATCTGAGGATTTACAAAGAGTAGGCCCTATCCACCTCCAACTTTTTCTTATGATGTCTTCATCAATAGGCTCCTGGTATATCCTTTCAAAATTAATTAGCCTTTTGATTATTTAATTGGGTTCAAAGCTCACATTTGGTATCTATTCTATTTAACTCAGAATTTAATTATTTCTATTCATTGCATCACCTTCTATGCCTTTTCATTATAAATTACTTCATATCATTAGTAGTTGCATACGATCCTATCAATACATACTTCGGAGCAGTTATGTCAAGCTACCATAAAGTACTTCATAGTATCAATTTCCAGGAACAGTCTTAAAATAATAAAGGGTTCAATTGTATTTTGTCTTTGTACTGTTGACTTTTCACACACTACTGTCATGTAACCACTTCAAGAAACTGAAATTAACTAAAGATTTATTTTCTTCACCTTTTGTTTCTCCAGAGTTCTGAAGAGGTGATAGGAGCGGCTGTGGCCATTGTGAATCACAGCCACAACATTGAGGCCTTCGCCAGCAGGCTGCTGACATTAGCTGGTCAGAACTGGTACGGACTTTGATATACAGTTAACAAAATGAATGCTTATATTATTCTCAGGCCCTATTTAAACACAAGACATCTAAACTATTTCTCTAGTGTAAAAATCAACCAACAGTGAACTCCCTTATTGACAACATTAACTTAATTAGTGATCATTTAGATTTGGTAACTGCTCATCTGATTAGCAGAATATTTTACCTGTACCCCGTTATGTTTATGCGTAGTCTTGACAAGTTGAGCATAGGTAAATGGTTTTGAGTCATTGCTATCTATCTCTTTGTTAAGTCATTGCTATCTATCTCTTTGTTTAGAGCCATTGCTATCTATCTCTTTGTTTAGAGTCATTGCTATCTATCTCTTTGTTTAGAGTCATTGTTATCTATCTCTTTGTTTCGCAGGCTTTCTGACCACCTGAAGATGTGTATCATGAAAATCAATGGCTGCTCGACTCAGCTACACATCATTGCCACAGCCTTACATAACTCACCCAAGTCATATCAGGTAAATGAAAACTCCACTCACCCTATTACACCAGGTAAATGAAACCATTTCACAACTCACACCAGGTAAATGAAACCATAATACAAGGGACATCGGGTAAATGATCTGATAGCACAACTCATGTGTAAAGGAAACCATTGCACAACTCACATCAGGTAAATGAAACCATTGCACAACTCACTCTAGGTAAATGAAACCATTGCACAACTCACACCAGGTAAATGAAACCATTGCACAACTCACTCTAGGTAAATAAAACCATTGCACAATTCACATCATGTAAATAAAACCATTGCACAACTCACACTAGGTAAATGAAACCATTTCACAACTCACACCAGGTAAATGAAACCTTGCACAACTCACACCAGGTAAATGAAACCTTGCACAACTCACACCAGGTAAATGAAACCATTGCACAACTCACGCCAGGTAAATGAAACCATTTCACAACTCACATCAGGTAAATGAAACCATTGCACAACTCACATCAGGTAAATGAAACCATTGCACAACTCACACCAGGTAAATGAAACCATTGCACAACTCACTCTAGGTAAATGAAACCATTGCACAATTCACATCATGTAAATAAAACCATTGCACAACTCACACTAGGTAAATGAAACCATTGCACAACTCACACCAGGTAAATGAAACCTTGCACAACTCACACCAGGTAAATGAAACCTTGCACAACTCACACCAGGTAAATGAAACCATTTCACAACTCACATCAGGTAAATGAAACCATTGCACAACTCACACTAGGTAAATGAAACCATTGCACAACTCACACCAGGTAAATGAAACCATTTCACAACTCACATCAGGTAAATGAAACCATTGCACAACTCACACTAGGTAAATGAAACCATTGCACAACTCACACCAGGTAAATGAAACCATTGCACAACTCATACCAGGTAAATGAAACCATTTCACAACTCACATCAGGTAAATGAAACCATTACACAACTCACACCAGGTAAATGAAACCATTGCACAACTCACACTAGGTAAATGAAACCATTTCACAACTCACATCAGGTAAGTGAAACCATTGCACAACTCACACCAGGTAAATGAAACCATAGCACAACTCAAACCAGGTAAATGAAACCATTGCACCAATCACCCAAGTCAATTAAGGTAAATGACAGGACTATGTTGTACTCCAATTTGTACCAGTATATCAAAAGTACAAAAACCTTGTACATTTCAGTCTCTGCTGTGACATTGCTGTGCAAAATAAAACATCACCATAATAATAAGCATTTAGAAAAGAAAATGAGTTTTTAAATTCGAGGCAGGCCACCTGCAGTAGTTAAAGTTTCACAATGTCGATCATGTTCACATGTCCACACATTCATGAAAGAGACTCACCAAAATTTAGCGCACTAAAAAAATACAGGGTGATATCAACCCTTACCTCAGTCTCTGCATTGTTCAATCTAACCCATGCTGCACAATCCCCAAGGGTATCCATCAACCCTTATCTCTTTGTCTGCATTGTTCAATCTAACCCATGCTGCACAATCCCCAGGGTGATCGTATTTTGGTGCGCAATGCCTCCAATCTGCTGACCACAGTCAGGCAACTGTTTGCTCTTGTGGAGAGTATTGCCGCAATGGTAAGGCATCATTTTCCTTATAATTTTTTATATATTTTTTTTTGTATTTATATTATTTATGTTGTTATATTATTTATATTTTCATCTTACGAATTACAGAAGTGGCCCAAAAGAGTCCATCAAATCTCCAAATAAAATAAATTATTTTGAGCTGGGTGAATGTGTCATCATTTTGACATAAGATAAGATCCACTGAAGATTTGACAAAAATTTTATCCGCTGAAGATTGTCAATTAATTTACAACTGTTTGTCTATTTGTTGAATATCAAAGCTCCGAGATCACAGTATTATTAAAAGAAAAAAATAATCTAGTAATAGACTACTGCCCTGATTTGAAAAATCTCCCATCATCATGGCAAAAAAAAAAAGGTGATTCTGCCTGATTGTAAATAAATAACATGAATGCGGCATATACAACAAACAGATGGTTGCGTGTTGGATGTTTGTTTCCATGGCAGTCCATGCTGTTTTTAATTGCTGTGTCATAGACTGGGTTATAGATGTGTCGAGGGAATGGTATATGAAGTACATTTAATGCGAGTCCCTAGTTTTAGTGGGTCACGGGATAAAAATGATTTTTTAAAAAAAACTGCTCCTTAAAGCTTTTCTTCTTCTTTATTGCCCATGATCAATGTATTGATCATTCTGGCTCATATTTATGTAGAGGGTTTCTCGATGTTTCTGTGCCTAATATTAAATAGGATATTTCACTGATTGCATGGGCTACTCAGCAAGGATATCAGGAGCTGGGGGTGGAAGGCATGAGGCTACAGACGCAAATGGGCCTAGTGTTGTCGCCTCAACTGTCCCTTTTGGAAGCTTGTTCCAGTCCCTTTTAAACAAGTAGAGATTTTGGTTTCATTCATAATAACTCTGGAAGCAGAATTGTAATAATCTCTGCTTAGACACTGCAGAAGATTTAAGAAACCTTGCAAAATGTTGTTGTTTTTCTTCTACAATTGCCTAATGTTAAAATCCTTTAGGCAGGTTTATAACGATACAAATTTGAAAGATATATTTTATTTAAATGCACTGGTATATCCATGTAAAGCTTATGTTTTTCCATTCAAGTTTAAGATCCAAAATAAATAAGTTGATTTCAGAGTTCTAAGTGGCCAGCCTACCAGCATGAGCAATCTGTTTTTTTACGAGTTGTAATTTCATATCAACGATGGGTTGCCTCACTTTCAGGGCATTCAAGAGCCAGGCTCGAGTGATGAACTAACCAAAGAAATTATCTCCCTGCTTGTAAATGTTCACCTCGACAACGAACGTTACATTCAGGAGAGCAGAAACACCAGTGAGGTGGATGAACTGGGCCTCAGGAGGGTGGAATTTCACAGTCCGCCGTCTCTGGCCTCACTGGTTGATTTTGTGGAACCTGACCAATCAGAAACTGGGGAGTTTGAGTCTAACGGCTCTCAGTAATTACACAGCAGATGGTTTTCAGTCAAGCAAAAACTATTCCCAGGCTGTGTGGACCCTAGTCTAAATCTGTACAAACGTATTTGCCATGTTGACCAGTAACATGGATCTTGTTTGAACACAATATTATTTTTTTTGTATACTTGTTATCTTTACCTTATTTTGTTTTTCCAGTCAAATGACAGCCACTGTTTAATGTGGTTCTCTAAAGTGCCTTTATAAGTCGTCATTTTTTGGCATTCCCAGTATCACATTTACTTTAATTGACCTGGCATTGTTTACATATCACACTTTTAACCACCTTATCTCGAATTGTTAACAAATCGCATTTTTATTTACTTAACATATTGCCTGAATTAATTTATCTGGCAAGGGTTACCTATCACACCTATATTTATAAGGGACATATTTTGTGTCACATTTACATTCCCTTTAAGGAAATTTAAATTATTTTTTTCATTTGTATATTGCATTAAAAAAATTTAATTTACATTCCCTCTAAGGAAATTTAAATTATTTTTTCATTTGTATATTGTATTAAAAATATAATTTACATTCCCTCTAAGGAAATTTAAATTATTTTTTTCATTTGTATATTGTATTAAATAATACAATTTTTTTTTAAACACTGTGTTTAGTTGAGGAATTTACACTTCACCACTTACTGCTGACTGTAATTTTTGAATTGTGTTAATAATTGTTATATTATATAATTATATCAGACATTCCAATGGCTATGTTCCATTTTTCTCAATCATTTTATTGATACTGAATTTCATTTTATTATTTTTATTCTATAATTTCAGTCAAATCATAAATATTGATAAAGACCGAATTAAGGTAAAAAATAATTTAAATCCAATGTTTGATGTCTCACCATTAAGATGTCTCACTACAATGATGTCTGACCATTAAGATGTCTCACTACAATGATGTCTCACTATGAATATTTTCTTCATTTTTCATTATTTGTTTACTAAAAAACGATTTGTTTACTATTTTAATTTTTGTTTTTGTAGGGAAATTCCTTCTTAGCGTGTATCACAATCCTACCATAAAAAGCTGTGGCATTGAGGGAATATTTAAAATAAAAAGCTTTTTTTTTTTTTGTATTGTTGTAATTAAAAATTTAACTTCCTAACTTTTAACATTTTATTGTGTTGTTATCTTTCTTAGAGCCTTGTGTAAGCTATTGTCCAAAATAAATATATTATTATGTAACGGGAGAGTGGGGATTTCTTTAGCCAAGGGGTCGTTGGCAGAATATGATTGAACCAGTGGATTAGACCCTTGGACATGTGTATTGCTACCTCAAATTAAAATAAACGAAATGTAAAAGAATATTATATATATTTTAACAAAAATTGTGGGTACATTCCTATTTAAAATTTCATTTTTAGACTTTCGTAAGGCCCTGTAGGTTTGAAGGCATCTCTGTAGGTTTGTAGGCCCTGGGCATTAGTGCCTACTCTGTCTATTGGATAAGACGACCCTGAGTTAACCGAGTACTAGTTCTTGCAGAGAGCCTGCGACCGAGGAGAAGAAAGTTCAGTGGGTTACAGGTGCTGACAGTGGACGATGTTTTCTTGTTAACGTCGCTACGCCAATCCAAGATGCGGACGAATCAAATTTACTTTCAGCAGTCTTTCTAGTCTCCATGGCACTTGGATTGTTCTATTGTTCCTATTATTAAAGCGCCTCTTGAAAAAAACAAAAAAAACATTTCCTATATCCCAGAGCAGAACTGCGACTAGAATTAGTGCAGCCCGGCAGGCGCGGAAAAACATTTGTACAATCCCTTCCAAATTAGAAAAAAAAATACAGTTGGCCGAAAATGACATGTCCTCATATTATCTTGAAATTGCTTTCCTGTTGGGCATACGCCACAGTTTGGGAACCATTATTGACTTCATTTAAGTGTCTTGTTTGTCGAAATGGATGGATGATATTAATTAGAGTGTGGTGTTTTTTTTGTGTGTTTTTTTTTTTTTTTTTTTTTTTTTTGGGGGGGGGGGGGAGATATTAAACGGTCATTATATTGTATAATATACATACGCATAGCGGAAGTCTAAAATTTGAACTGTTTTGCATAATGTTGTTTCTTTGCTGCTGTTGTTTGTTTGTTTGTTTTTGTTTGTTGTTTTTATTGTCATCCGCCCCTTTCAAATACACGTCGGTGTCAGTTTTGGCGGAATTTAGGAAAGGTCAAGGCCTGAGCGTTATGTTATACCATTTGGGAGAGACACAACAAAGTTGTTCCAATCCATTTTCCGAAACATATGAAGATATAGTCTGCTGTTATTCTGATGTTTTTTTTCCCCTTTTTTGAACATATTTCTTGCGGGAGCCCTAAATATGTCACTTCTGCCTTACTTCTTCGTCCACTATTTGATGTTAACTATTCACTACTCTTTTTTTTTTCTTTACAATTGTGTATGCATTTTTAAATTATACATTTAAATTTTATTTTATTTTTTTTATTTTGTAAGTATTAAAAAATATTATGGGGGGGGGGGGGCTGTTATTTTTACCTCTCACCTTTTAAAATGTTTAGTCCCTTATTTTGTTTTTTTTTTTTTTTTAATTGTTTTTTCATTTTTAAATTATTCATTTAAATTTTTTTTTATTTTTTTTTTTTTGTTAGTATTAAAAAATATTTTGGGGGGGGGGGGGCTGTTATCTTTACCACTCACCTTTTAAAATGTTTAGTCCCTTAACCGTATTAATGATGGAATCGTTTGAAATACAGTATACTTCATACTAAATACTTTATACTGAATACTTTATACTAAATACTTTATACTAGATACTTTATACTAGACACTTTACTTTATACTAAATACGTTATTACTAAATAATTTATACTAAATAATTTATACTAAATAATTTATACTAAATAATTTATACTAAAAACTTTATACTAAATACTTTATTCTAAATACTTTATACCAAACTCTGGAAGTTTCGTATTACATTTACATGTTATAAAAATTACCCTACTTAAGTTAAGACGAGTCTTCTTTATCACCCCCCACAAGTTTGAGAACAACGTGACGTGACCCAGATGGGCTGGCCAGGAATGGTTGGCGGCGGATGGTTTCCATAGCTGCAAGAAATCCACAACCACCCCCACCCCCCCCCCCTTTTTTTTTGTGAGAAGTCGTCAGTGTCTGAGACGTCCAGGTTCAGTGATCACAGCCGGACCACTTCGGCGCGGACCAGTGACATTAGGACGGGGGGGGGGGCGTTAGCCCCAGGTGGCACTTTTTTCTTTATGTGTGGGGTCGGCATTTTTTTGGGTAGTTGCAGATGTTTTCCTTGTTCCCAGTCGACACTAACCAACTACGACACCAACTAGACACTAACCAACTATGACACTAACCAACTAGACACTAACCAACTACGACACTAACCAACTACGACACTAACCAACTACGACACTAACCAACTACGACACTAACCAACTACGACACTAACCAACTACGACACCAACCAACTACGACACTAACCAACTACGACACTAACCAACTACGACACTAACCAACTACGACACCAACCAACTACGACACCAACCAACTACGACACTAACCAACTACGACACTAACCAACTACGACGCTGAATTACAACTTTTTTAGCATCGGATTTCTTTGTAAATTATTCAAGTTACCAAGAATTATTTGATATCCTATTCGTTGTATCCCAAATCTTGTGAAAGTATCTATAAGGAGACAACCAAACTCACTTAGACATGTAACTTATTATAGTGAAAAGTATCTACATTTAGACAACCAAACTCACGACTTAGACATATAACTTATTATAGTGAAAAGTATCTACATTTAGACAACCAAACGCACTTAGAAATATAAGTCACATGTCTCAAAAGACTGGGGCAGGAACACCACTCCAAACCTGTCGTCTGCTGCTGGGTGAAACTGACCCCGGGTTTTCATTTTGTTTTAAAAAGTCCATGTTTGACCTTTATGAAGCGGCCCCGGTAGCTCAAGGCTCAAATTTCACTTCAAGTTCAAGGACTTCAAACCTCAATACAAATACAGCAAATATTTCAGAGCAACAAAAATAATAATAACAATAAGCGCACTTCTTTCGAAAAGCTTTAATCGAATGAACCCATATTAGAGGATTTGAAATTAGTTTAACATTTCAGAATTTTCAAGAAAATTGTAACTGCGATTTTTATTATTAAAAAAAAAGAAAAAAAGTTTTTGTTTCGTGTGTACCGCAATAAAAAAAATGGAACTACATTACAAATGAAAAATGGTGGTGTCCTTGAACTTTCCATGGGTTCTCTACTGCTGCTGAGCTGCAGGAGCGGGCTGTGGCTGAACTGGAGGCACGCTTTGCCTGCAAACAACAAATGGTTGGAACGTATGTAAGTTAACAAGAGTAAACATTTATTTGTGTGTTTGTAATCCCATAGTATTAATAAAGCTTAATGTCGTCTGCAATCTGTTATAGTAAATTTCGCAGTGACACATAAGATGTGGTGGTGGTGTTGTTTTTTCCTCATTGACATAGTGCAAGAAATACGTACTTCGTGTCTGGGAACCAAAACTCGGGGCAGTCTGGGGTGTAGTTACACTGGTTGGTGTCTTCGTGAAAATACAGCCATCCTGGACACGTCCTGGGAGAGAGATTCAAACAAATAAAAAAACCACATGTTTTTAATGATTCCAAAGCACTCTCAACATAGCAGCAGTTCAAACGGTGGGCGGCCACTGTACTTGAATTTCTGAGTGCTTGGAGTGGCTTCATGAAATACCCCCATTGCCTTCCCTCATTACACATAGGGGTGTAGACTATCGCCCTTAGAGAAAAAAAAACTCGCTACCGTCAACACTAATGTGACTGTGGCTGGGACGAAACGGCTGTCTCGGAGCACTCCTTTTAACAGAGGGTACGAATTCTTGATTATGGAGGAATGCACCAATCTCCCTCTATAATACCCCCCCCCCCACACACACACAAAACAAGTTTTAAAAAATCTGTTCCACGATCAGAATCTCTTAATTAAACGTGTATTTAAATTTAAAGAATGCATTTTAATGCAAATATTAAATTTTTTAAAATAACTTTTTTTTTTTGAAAAATCGGTCAACTCACGAACATGGCGTAGCCGGTCTGAACTTAATCTAACTTCGTCCCCGTTGAGACGTAGGTCATATCAAGTTGATATAGTCAACTGGGATCAATCACATGGTCATTAAATGATGAATATTAACCGGAGAAAACGCTTTTAATTCGTTTTTTTTTTTTAAAACCATCTTCGTAGATGCTTATGGTACATTGTGTTCGACTGTAATTGTAATACATAGTGCCCGATATACAGCACTCTACAAAAATAAAGGGGGTTGGGAAAGGGGGGGGGGGCCAAACCGCGAAAACTGAAAACGATTTTACCAATTACCAAGAAGGCTATTGTTGAGACTAATACCCATGACGTCATTTGCGTGTTTAATAAATATTTGTGCATGAGTTATTCCCCTTTATTCATTTTATAATTGGCGGAAGTGATGATGATAGGAATTTTAATTGGTTGATTATTTATAATTTTAAATTATCATTGGTTGGCCTAGTGCCGGCAGTTGTGCTGCTACCATCTTTTCAACATGTTGGCCTAGTGGGGCTCCTATTATTTGTGCATATTTTTTTTTATTTGGAACCTGTAATAAAGTGTGTAAAAGTGGACTAAAAGTGTGTATTTCATACAACTGTAAGTTGGGTTTTCATTATTTCTTGGTTTTATAATTATTTTTGTGTTCATTTTCAAATTCCATGTGTTTTTCTTTTACGGCTGCTAACCGTTGCTGCTTACTTGTGGCCTTAGGCTTTGGGTTAGGTTCAGAAATGCATGGTAATGAACGATTTTAAAAGCAACACAAAACAATGAAATTTTTAAATGATAATAATTCGTTATTTTACGAATCAAGATTTTGGGTACTTTGAACTTACCGCCGGACACCGGACCACAATAAGACAGTGACTTAATATTTAATCACACCTTTCTAGATCCGCATGATTTTCAAGTCATCAATATTTCTATACGAATCAAGATTTTGGGGAGGGGTTCTGGGGAGGGGTGACCCCTCCCCAGATAATTTATTTGTTTCTGATTTTGGTATTTACAGTGGGGGAAGGGTCTGGGGAGGGGGTCGTTTCATAACACGTTTTTTGCACTACGTTTTGGCCGCCATCTTGGTTGACACTTCACGTGACTTCTCAACTGAGATGGCGGACATGATGGGAAACCCCGGGTATCAATCTCAACATTTACCCCCAAAAAAAGGGCTATGTCGTAAACTGAACACTTGCATGACATAGGCGATTCCGTTAGAGCAGCTGACGTAGACGCCCTCTACGCATTGCTGTGGGTGGCAGTGACGGTAGTTGCCGTCGGGTCTGTCGCTGCAGAAGTCCTTGACACAGACTGGTGGGAAGCGTAAGGAAGGTTGTGCTGTAAGGAATAAATAGTAGGAGTTTACCCTTTCTGTCGCTATACCACGATGACAAGTCGGAATCTATTGTCACAATGTCGCCACCCTTACATGAACGCACTTTCATCCACAAGGTGTAGATCGCTGTGGAAAAAATTAACAAGGTATGCATCTCTTACACCAGAGGTGCGCAAACTTGGTTTTTTTTTTGGACAAGAGTCGGTAAGTAGCGCGGGGGGTGGGGTGGGGGGGGTGGAGTGCGCGGGCAGACGGTTTGTTTGAGATCACGATTTGAGTATCAGAATCAGATCAATTTTTCTTTTTATTTTAAAAAGAAAAAAGGGTACCGTATATTTCAAACACGTCAGACACATTTTTTTTCTTCTTGTCTAAAGGAAAAGTGGATTTAGAAATTGGTGTCATGATGATATAATCAGAGTACAATAATTTTAATGAGATTCCATATACATTTTTTTAAAAAATAGTACATGAAAAAACAGCAACTTTAAATTGCAGTGTACATCATCTTTTTTTTCACATCAGTGAGAACGAGAACCACGAAACTGGTTCTTTTTCTGACAAAATGACGTTTTGTTTGAGGCCCAAAGTCAGCACTGTCATCAAAATTGTTGACAAGTGCTGATCATGTAAAGGCTGCTCTGGGGCTATACACGGGATGACAGCAGAGCGCTTTGAGTTTGAGCACGCTAGAACAGCATGGAGACAAGCGCCATGCAAGCAATCAATTAATCATCAAACATTACATATTTCATTTTCAAAAATGTCTTCTCACGCAAGTATAGGTAATGCCAAGACCTACCCGCGAGCCTTAGTTTGCCGGACCCCCCCCCCCTTGAATAAACCATGTGGTTGGGATTATTTAGCTATAGTGAATTGAATGGAAGTAGATGCATTAACTAAATAAAAATACTTTGTCGGAATTAACAAGTAAAATGTGTGCTCATTGAGATTCTTGTTTACATTCAAAGTCTTGTAGAGCAGATCCGGTGTTTGAGTGGCAGTGTTTTCGACAGCCACTGTGTCGCCTAGTTATCAGAGGCGTAGCGAGGGTGTTTGGCGCCCGAGGACAAGATTCGCGCCCGGGGACAAGATCCATATTAAAGCGCCCCTTTTTTCTTTTTTTCAACTCTCAAACCCATTAATTTTACCAATAATATAATATCAACGCACATTTTGGCGCCCCTAACTAGCTTGCGCCCGGGGACATCTGTCCCCCCCCTGCCACCCCCTCGCTACGCCTCTGCTAGTTATGCTACGTGATAATTGAATAGGCTCTCCGGAATATGCTCTGCTGGCATCAAATACATATCATCGCACACTTTACGGGATTGTGGTTTGTTGGTGTGTGTATTGGGGGTGGGGTGGGGGGGGGGTAGTAGGCGTAGGTTCTGGGTACCAAACCGTGGTATCAAAAGCGTCTAGAGAATAGATCCGCTTCGTGTGTTCTAAAACAAACCAAAAACAACACAAAAAAAAGAGACTTTCAACTTCTACAAACGAATTACCAAAATGTGTTAAAATATGGCCTTGATATGCGGAATATGTTGAGATTGCATTGTAAAACCGGTTTTCTCAAACCGATGACCGGTTCCTACAACAAAACAGCAAACCCAAGAAGAGGTTTTTCTTACCCGGATTCACAAAGGCCAGTGTGGCCAATGGGGCCAGGCAGAGGATGTAAAATAGGCTGAGAGTCATTTCGACGATTTCTGGTGAATATCGAGATAGAAAAAAAGAATAAGTTCCTCAAGACATTCAATGTTTACTGTTTATTTAAATATATTTTGAGAAAATATTTGGATCTCATTTCCCCACTCTGTTACTAATTTATTCAAATGTTAGATTGCAATTTTTTTTTGTTTTTTTTTTTTTTTTTTTTTAAAATGTTTTTGATTTTGTTTGGTCTTTTTTTTGGTTCTTTTTTTATGAATTTTTTTTTTTTTTTATATATATATATATATATATATATATATATGAAATGACTGACCATCTCACCGACCAAACACCCCCCCACTCCTCCTTTTCTCCTCACTTGGAAAATATTGTAACCCCCCCCCCTAAAAAATAAATAAATAAAAGATATATATATATATATATATATATATATACATATGAGATTTAAAAAAGCCACTTTATTACTTACATGTTTGAAGAGTCCTGGAAGACTTACGTGGCAACCGTGTTAAAGTTTCACCATGCTTGTCGGTATTTATACAAGAGTTTCAGGGGATCTCTGTCACGGATCTAAGCGCGCAATGCCCAGCAATGTAATCATCGGTTGTAACATTAAGTCATTTATTTGGATGGTCCACTTGACGCCCCGATGTTTGGCGCTCCGTTGTTACCAGGAGCATACAATAAACGACCTGAGGGGTAGGGGGTGAGAGAGAGAGAGATCGCCATTCTTTCCCAACGGATGTATTAGAACGTGATACAAGTGAAATTCCATTGGTGAAGATTTGGAAATCAACAGAATGAGAACCGTTGATAAACCATAAAATTCCATTTAATATTTGAAACACAAGCGTATCCTGGAGGCAGACTGGGAAGAAGAGTTTCAATTTCAAGGGGGTTTGGGGGGGGGGATTAATTACTGTTACGGTTACAGTATGGGTGTGTCAGCGATACCTGTTCTCAAAACGAATATCGTGATAAACATGATGTCACACCTCCATATAGGAAGTGGCGCGCCTCCAAGGGAAGTCACGTCGGGGATTAATGGGGAAGTCACGTCGGGGACTAATGGGGACGCAATATAAGGGATTCATGGCCGAGTAACGCCTCTGGAAGGGCAGCGGCACCAGCTGAGGCCTGCCTCCTGGGTTGACAACTCGGCATTGTGCTATCGTCCCACCAAGGACAGATTCGACCAGCCTTAACTATCGTGTTGAAAGGTTGCTGCCGAGTGGCCACAAACCGATTGATTTTTAAAACATTCAAATCCAACGTTATTTGACGTTGAAAAAAAAATGCTAGTATTAGTTAATAATTAATAATGTGCAATTTAGTTCAGAATCTCATATTTAATCAGAATTACTGGAGCTACTGTCAGGGTTACGGGGAGCAGACCTCAGTCATACTTTCATTAATATATAATGAAAACAGTGGTCAGCGTCCCCTCTTGTTCCAGGGCGGAACATTGAACTTTATCAGAAGGACCTGGAATGTAAATCCCCCCCCCAACCCTACACTAAAACGGGGGACCGTCGTCGTTAATACCGAGCTGACTTAAAAGCATCCATCAAAATTCACCCGCGTGCATCATCTCGGCCCGTGTAAACAGGAGACCCCGCGTGCATCATCATACTTTATGAAAAACTTGCGCGGGCCGAAAGAAAATAGGACGTGGTGAAATTTATTAAGAAAATATTAAGAATAAAAAATATTTCGTTATTCCGCGAGCCGCAAAGTGGGTGCTGGCGGGCTGAATGTGGCCCACGGGCCGTATGTTGTGCAGGCCCCGCCCTAGCGAATAGCTCAGTGGCGTAGGTAGGGGTGTGGATGGGGCCCCCGGGCGGCACTTTTTTCAATAATATATATATATATATATATAGGGGGGGGCCGCGTTCAAACGTGTAAAGTAAATAAATGATGTAACAAGCCAAGTTAAGACTTGAAAATAAGACACAACAATTAAACGGACGTTTCGCCGAGACGCCTGCTTCAGCAGACGCTGCAATAACAGGCAACGGATAAATTTAAATTAAAATGATCGACGCTATAAATAATGTCAGTGCATCTAAAATTTGAAAACGGTAAGCCTCGGATATTTCAGGGGTCCAAAGTTGTGATGTGGAATAAAATAAAAACTTAAAACTTGATCTGTAAGGGAACAAAATGGAAAAGTGGAAGGGGCCCTCCAAATATCGAGGACATCCCTGGCCGAAGTCTAGGGACGCTTAAAAAGTAAACGGAAACTTTATTGGACCCTTAAACAGAAACAAATAATACAAAATTGTGTACATTTTAGTTACTGATAACATAAATGGACTTAGGAAATAAAAAACAAAACGAAGACAAAATAATTTGAATCTCAGTGGAACAGGTAATATACGTATTTTATAGAGCAAGTAATATACGTATTTTATAGAACATGTAATATACGTATTTTAGAACAGGTAATATACGCATTTTATAGAACAGGTAATATACACATTTTTATATAACATATAATATACGTATTTTACAGAACGGGTAATATATGTATCTTATAGAACAAGCAATATACGTATTTTATAGAACAGGTAATATGCGTATTTTAAAGACTATGTAATATACGTATTTTATGAAACAGGTCATATATGCATCTTATAGAGCAAATAGTATACGGATTTTATAGAACAAGTAATATACGTATTTTATAGAACAGGTTATATACACGCATTTTATAGAGCGAGAAATATACGTATTTATAAAACATGAAATATACGTATTTTATCTTAAGTTACTACATGTGGGTGATACATTTGGACCACACAGAATAAGATTGGTACACCACGTGCGCGATGCATCATACATCGTACACCTTGCCGATGGTACAACACCTGAGCAATCCAACAAGCCGTGCGATGTGTGTCTCGCAGTCTACACAGCCAGTTTTACTGTCCAATGAGGCGTCCACCTGGCTCACAGCCACCGACCAGGATCGGACAAAAGACATGGCCACTTAGAGACAGGAGATACGGGGGAGTGTTTAGTTCAGACCTGTCGCTCGTCATTGGATACACAAAGGGCTCTCCTGAATGAAACAAAAGTTCAAGTAATGAGACGCATGTCGTAAACCTACGTGCAGCATGACGCTCATGTCGTAAACCAATGCGCAGCATGACGCTAATGTCATACACCAATATGCAGCATGACGCTAATGTCATACACCAATATGCAGCATGACGCTAATGTCATAAACCAATGTGCAACCTGACGCTAATGTCATAAACCAATGTGCAGCATGACGCTAATGTCGTAAACCAATGTGAAGCATGACGCTAATGTCGTACACCAATATGCAGCATGACGCTGATGTCGTAAACCAATGTAAAGAATGACGCTAATGTCGTAAACCAAAGTGCAGCATGACGCTAATGTCGTAAACCAATGTAAAGCATGACGCTAATGTCGTAAACCGATGTGCAGCATGACTCTAATGTCGTAAACCAATGTGCAGCTTGACGCTAATGTCGTAAACCAACGTGCAGCAAAACGCACATGTCGTAGAACGATATGCAGCATGACGATCATGTCGTAAAACACTGTGTAGCCTGACCTTGGGTGTCGGGTGAAAGGATGATTACCGAAAACAAAGACTAACAAACGAAATTCGTACTTCTTAAAGTACACCAACGAGGTCAAATGTCATGTTCCTTGTTGGTTGGAATGATTTAATTTGTTTTTGAGAGTATCAAGTTAGTAGAAACAGAGAAGGGAGTGTGTGCGTTGGGAGGGGGGGGGGGGTGGGATCATTGTTACTGTTTCTCTATTTTTTATGCATGAGGTATATTCTTAAAAACAAACAACAATCTCAAACAACTTTAGCATTTCTGCAACGCAATAATATTTATAAATTAAAAATTTAAAAAAAAAAAATAACTCGTCTTGTAAGTTTATTGAGTACCAACCCTGATCCCAGTGAGATATAAGCAAGGCATCCACAGAATTCAAGGTGACCTTATGTATGATTTTTTTACCAGTACATTCATTTCTTTTGGAGATTGGTCCTGATTAAGTTGTGAATTGTGTAACCAGTGGCCTAAAGTTGGAGACAGCACAATGAAAGAAATATAATTAATTTAACCCGCGCGCAAAAAGTACATCTGATCAAGGGGCGTCTTACCAAAAGGGTGGGTAGAAATCTGCCACTGCCACTTTGAATTAGGGGGGTATGACACCCCCATCCTTGTGCCTGAGAAATTCTCCAGGTAGCAAAATAAAATATGGGTAAGGACAAATTTAAATTTAATTTAAAAAACAAGAAAGTGATTCATGGGTCTTGCTGGCGTGATAAATTTGACGGCGATCGTTTCGACAACACAGCCATGCAGCCAAGCAGCCATGCAGCCAAGCAGCAGGAATTTTTAGAATTAAAACTATCAAAATAATAAAAGACATAATAAAATTCAAAATTCAGTTTTCGAACAATTGGTATATTTGATAAGTTCGTCAGCTGAAAATCTCATGTGTAGACTGTAATATATACGTTCCTCGTCTGTTCCAAACTGACGAGGCTAAGAAAAGAAATATTATGGCCTATTGGCTTACTGCGCTGACGTCATCAGCAGTATAACAACCACCACAACCCCCCCCCCCACCCCAACCTGGCTCATAAATTATCTCCAGGACATCAGTCACTTTAACTGGACATATTTTATAATGTTCAGGTGAATTTGAACAAATACTTTTAAAAAAAAAAAAAAAAAAAAACGACTTTCAAGACAACGACAATATGCGTGCAAGGCAGGATAAGCAAACACATTTCCAATGATTAGGATCGATAAAAGAATCTTATCTTCTCTTTTCTAATCTTATCTTAAAGAAAAGTTTAGATTATGAGCCAAGAGCCTTTTGTCTTGTCTGTGGAGTAATTATTTGTGCAACACTTTAGAATGTTTCTTGAACAGAAGTTTCATAGCATTGCTTGGACAGACATTTCATCATATTTCTCGGTCATACATTTCATGTTATTGTTCGGGCAGACATTTAATCATATTACTTGGACAGACATCTCATCATATTTCTTGGACAGACATTTCATCATATTTCTTGGACAGACATTTGATTACATTTTTGTATAGACATTTCTTCATATTACTTGGACAGACATTTCATCATATTACTTGGACAAACATTTCATCATATTTCTTGTACAGACATTTCATCATCTTACTTGGACAGACATTTCATTATATTTCTTCTATAGACATTTCATCATATTACTTGGACAGACATTTCATCATATTACTTGGACAAACATTTCATCATGTTTCTTGTACAGGCATATCATCACATTTCCTGGACAGACATTCAATCACATTTCTGGGGCATATATTTCATTATATTGCTTGAACAGACATTTCATCATATTGTCTGGACAGACGTATCATCCCAAATATCCTTGAATAGTAATCTGGTTAATTATTTTGGCATAGGTTCCCCCAGACGGACGTCATCCTATTGTTCGTTCAAAATGAATTATCGAACTTTGCACGTGCATGGCACGTGCGACAACAGATCTTTAAGCATTCAGATTTGATGTTTGGCCACCAGGGCTGAACTCCGTCCTTTACGATCG